TAATCCTGTATCACATCGCGTCTTGCGTTCATGAGGTTTGTTTTTGACTATTTCACGTACAGTTGAGAAAGGAATTTCGGTCAAATCTGATGTTGCTTGTAATAGTTTGTTTCCCTGAAAACCAAACTTGAGATGTAGATTCTTATATTAGTTTAAACATACTCTCTGTGTTTCAATATTCAAATGCATCCGAAAATTATTCACTGGTATCTTTTTCGCATTGTTCACCATCGCTATTGGAAGCACTACACAGGAAAAAGTCTGCGTTGTTATCACTATTAGTACTTGTCCAAGGATAACAAAAATTTCAAGTAATTATAACTGCACCAATATCGAATTTCAACACTCAAATCGCGATCAGTTCCTGAACTGAACATTGACAACACGGCTCTTATAACCATCCTCGCATTCTATTCGTCACCGTAACATGACTTCAAAATTTATATTTATGACTCTTCAGCCAATTATAAAACTCGGTTAGTAAAAATCATCCAATACGAACCGCCGATTCTTCAGTCCACGTGGACTAGTTGGCAGCGGCTTTATTTCTTTGTATTGGTTTTTTTGGCCTTTGAGGGCGCCGACACTTCAAGTATGCACAATACCAGTTACTTCGACTATATCTATTGATTGACTGACACTCTTATAATAACGTACAGCCGAAGCTACTGAACCCAAAATTTTGAAATATGCAGGTAGGTTCTTTGTATACTGTAAGTAAGCATCAAGAAAGGGAATCAGGAATTTCCACCCTCAAGGGGGAAAATAGGGGTCTAAAGATTGTATTGAATTTCGTCAGTTTTGAAGTTGTAAACCTGAAGTTTTGGCTTAATAAAAAATATTATAACTGTTTGTGATTTCAAACTATGAAATTTGATTTCCTATTCAACGGTTTTTGATTCTTTGTCAGAGTTATTAACGCCATGAAACGTAAATATATGTTTTTTTGAAATTCTATTTTGAACGCAAAACGTGACGATTCCGCAGGCAATTTACAACGAAATAAGTATCTCATTCATTAATAATTATTTGACTCGAAACCCCTTAACTTGATAACATTACGTATTGTCTATATTGAATTCTAACAACAAAGAAAGGAATAAAATGTTTAATCTTGTATGATTCATCAATTGCTATTTAATATAAACAACAGCGAATACGTATTTCCGCCGAACCTAAAAATATCCACTGCTCTTATTACACCTACCTACCACATAAAATATTCTCAAAAACAGTGAAATTGATTCAAAACAGATTTTTACGCGTTTGTAAAATTATATCTTGACAATGTGGTGAACGGGGTTCGGCAAAGGGAACCACCAATCCCACCTTCTAGGAAATTGATTCCGCCTCCCATCGTCACTTTCTGTGTTACTGCTTTTGAATGAAGATCCAACATGTTAGTAATACTTTTTATTATAAATTTTGTCTATAGACCTACTTGAAAACAAAAAAAAATGGATTTCATATAAAAAAAAATTTCCACCAAATGGAATCGCTTGCGACTAGTTTTGTTTCATAAACAGAAACATCAGTTTCCAGTTTCAAAAACAAACTCGAAACTTGAATCGCGTGTTTTGTTGTGAAATGTTTTCTGTCGTATCCACTGCACGAACAGGAATAAATTGAGGACTGAGATCATAGAAATGTATACCCATCACAGAATAAAACATTGAATAAAATAATAATGTCACATGAAGTCACACATCAGAACAAAATAGTGAACTGAATAGTTGCTTGTTGTTGTCGCAGACCGTTCGACCGTGACACAAAGTTCAAAATGTTTCTTATTTTGATAACTAAAGTTTTCACTGATAGATTATCCAAACTCTCAGATGTAACTATACAAAATGTGTCATCAGCAAACTGGAAAATTGTAAGTTCTAGTATGGAGCCTTGCGGCCCCCCAGATTAATATTTTTGGGCGCAGGGTAGTATTGTATTCTACTACCCCTTGTGCAATTCAGCATTACGCAATAAGTTCTTCCTGTCAAATAGGGTTCAAACAACTGTAACAACAGGAGAATTCGATGGAAGATTGAATCAAAGGCTTTGATAACATTAATATAAATCCCTGTGAGTGAATCACCTTTGTCAATGTGATCAACTGCACTGTTAAGTGACTGATAGATAACCTTCTCTGATGATTCACAAGACAAAAAACCATACTGGCACTTACTCTGAATGTGATGTTCGTTGAGGAAGCCAAATAGAATTGAGTAAATCAGTCTCTCCAACACCTTCGAGAACACTATAGTTGCCAAATTTATTTTTTGGCCCTATTTTGTGTATCATATTATTTTTCAGGTTTTAAGTTTTTCTAGAAAAATACCAATCTCAAAACACATGTTGTTACAATATTTCGCAGGCTATCGATTTCATTAAGGTACTAGTCCTCAAATACCAATTTTCATGGCTAGCCATGAATTTTAACGACCAATGGTGACTTGGCGCACTCCTTTTCGTTAGCAGTATATTCCCCCAATTCGTGGCTTAAGCCCACGGCTGCCTTCACACAGGTTGATTCATTTACACTTTCGATCTGAGGTTAACCCAATCCTCCTGAACTATTTGTTGCCGAAATGTAGCTTTGTTCGATTCATTGAAAGGCGTATGAATATCACTTCACTCTCCAGTTTCTCATTGAAGTTACTGATGATTTTATCTAAATAATTATCAAAGTGAGTGGGTGGGAATATATCTAAGAGGTGCATTAAGTTAGAACTAGTTTCCATGAAGTTTACATTAAAGTCACCACACTCTATGCAATTTTTGAATTTCCTCTCAAGATTGTTGAGGAGCCTCTCAAGACTTCCCAGGAAAACTTTGAATTTCCAGAAGAGGATCTGTACGTATTTTTGCTTACTGGAAGAGTAAGATCATCAGTACTCAAAATCCTTTTCTATAGCTGGTACATTTACTTCATATTCACTAATATTAATGTAATTTTCTGCATAAATAACTAACCTCTGTCATACTGAGATCTTGAAAGGTGATTGAACAATTTAAAGTTGTTCAAAAATTTAAATTTGGCAATCAGTTCATGTTCACAAAAGTAATGCTCACTAAAGCAACAGATGTGTGGGTATTATTTGGTGGCGTACAGGGCATCTAGACAATTTAATTTGTACTTCAAAATATTGATATTCAGGTGAATAATATTTTGATTTTTTTCTGCATCACAAAGTTCATTAAATGATTTATAGGACCTATTGTGGGCTATCCCAAGTAAAGTCAATGTGGTTAGGGCGATAAAAAATTGCTCTAAGAATTGCTAAAAAGAGTATTTGCCTAGTAAGTTGATTTTCAATTTCTTTTTAAACAAATTCAATGTGCCTGTATTATTTTCTTTGCTACTATGATCTAATTTATTGACAGCCAACAACGGCACAAGATAAATAAAGAAATGATTCAGAACATTTAACATATTCAACTCCTATACATGTTATGGAAGGTCTGTGTTTTTGAGTAGTGACAATTTTAATGCACATACTTTAAGAATAAAGTTATTCTGAGAACAATTAATAATAATATTTTCAAAGCATTTCTCATAATATTATATAATAATAATAATAAATTTAATCTTCAGAAACATACAGTTTATAGACATATGCTTGAAGCAGTTTGAGATACATTACATAACTAAGTTAAAACAATAATAATAATAGTAAGTCACTTGACTATGATAAATACATAAAGTCATAAAAAAACATGTAAAATATAAAGTGCAGAAGTTACAAAAAAAGAAACTAGTTAAAATTAAGATTAAACATAGATACATACATGTGAGACTATTAGTTTAGGTTGGGTTTATGACTGCTCAGCAAGTATATGTCATCAAGCCCCCGTTTATCACACAAGTTTCATATTCCTCTAGTGAGTAGAAATCAAGAAGAGTTTAATAGTGAATTTAAACGTATACACGGTTGCATTTTTTAACTTATCTGGTAGCACATTATATAGTTTGTAGTTGAGTGAGTTTTTGGAAGATTAAGCACGTTTATATCTAGGTACTCTGATTTTATTGGCCCCGCAGGTATTGTGTTCATGGACAGCGGATTGCAGAGTTGAATTCGGCAGGTTCTTATGTATTTCCAATAGTGTGCTCAAAATAAAGAGAGATGGAAGGGTCATGATTTTCAGTGCTTTATAAAGTGGTCTGCATGTATCACGATAATTAGCGTAGGAGAGAATTCTTACAGCCTTTTTTTGTAGTATGAATATTTTTGATGCCGCTGTTGAGTTTCCCCAAAGTAGTAAACCGTAATTAAGATGGGTTTAAAAGAGGGAAAAATAGACGGTTCGTAGGGTGTATGAGTTTGTTACGGGCCTCAGTTGGCGGATTATAAAGAGTGAGCTGGACAATTTTAGGCTTAGTTGACTGACATGGTTTGACCAGGTGAGTTTGTCATCCAGGACAAAGCCAAGCAGTCTGACATTTATGTCTTCCTGCAGAGATGTATTTGTGGTTACTATTAATTGCTGGAATTTGTCGTTGTTTAGTTTGAGTCTATTCGCGAGAAACCTAGACTCGGCTTTCTCTTACGCTTCCTTAGCCAGTCTGACCAGTGAGTTGTGATTTTTGTGTGAATAAATTAATGTGGTAATTAAATTAACACATACAAAACTATTGTCTTCAATATTCCAATAGCATCTTTATGTTATAACTCTACTTTTCATGAACTGACACAAACAAAAAATATTAATAATGAAAGTAATAAAAAAATTGTAGATTTGAAATTGAATAAATAGTGGAAACTACTTTAAGTAAGAGTATGATTCGATTCCAGCCTGAGTTAGTGCTTTCATAGTACATACTTATATAATTCGTGGTTTCCAGTTTCCAGTGGTCTGATTGTTTACTATTCTGTGTCTGAAGTTTCAAAAAGTGAGACCTCTTAAAAATTGTTGAAATGAGGGCAGTGATAAAAAAGGTCAAGCACCAACTTTCACAACATAGATATCTGTTATATATTTTTCAATAAAATTGAAAAACTTACCTGGGGTAAAGTATACAGCAAAACGAAGAACCCACAAAAAATCTTTAATGTCCTTGATGATAAAATATTTTTACAAGAAGCCATTTATAATTATCACACTAGAAATAATTATTTACAATGATTTGAAATAAAAACACCTGAATTCTATCTATATGACGATTATCTTAAAAGAAAAGAGAACATGTCTACAAAACAATCTCAAAAACAACCATGACGTATCAACTCTCGCCCTGGTCTGATGTTTGATGTTTTTCAAAACGACAATTAATCACAGATAACCAGAACAAACCTATGAGTCAGTCAGAACTGGAAACAAATATGACGTTATTGACGTTTATCTCTAAACAATGAAGGCACCATCGGCGATGCCGTCAGAGGGCGCTTGTCTCAGTAAATGCCGTTTAACGGTATAAATTAGGGGTAATAACATGCCCCCTAATTGCTCAAGACGTCTTTGATCCGCCCCGATCACAAATTTCCAAATGGCTTATCGAGTGCAAAAACATTTCATTTCAAATGATTATGAGTTGACAAGGGAATCTATCTGATTAGAAGATAATTCGATAAAAAAATAATTAATTAACGGAATATGAAAAATATGATTATTGAAATGAATAATTGAAAAATTAACGGAGAGTATGAAACTTGTGAAGTTGTGAAGAAAACAAATTATTGTGACCCGAAGTGAAAATTAATAATTGAATAGAACGAATTATGAGTTTAGGTCAATAATATAAAAACATCAATGGAAACTATAGTTTCCATTGACCAACAGTCATTTTGTTGATTACCGGAAAATTCGAAAAACTGTGCGTGTCTTTGAAGTTCTTGATATGATCGAAATCAGTCGATTAGCCTGGGAATTATCATCATCGGGCCGACCCCGTTCTGATGATAATGTTACAGCTTACAAATGCATTAGGCTGGCCCGATGTTGTGTACCAAATGCTGATGTTAGACTGATGGTGCTGTAATATCGATGTTTTACAGATCATCCGTTTTTACTGGGGAGTTATCAACCGAAGGCGATTGTGGAAACTTACAATTGAAACGTCGTGAAGAAGTTCGATTTGAAATATTCAATCTTAATTTTTGCTTTTTTTTTCATCATTCATCTTCACTATTTCATTTCGATTTTAACTGTGTTTATATATTTTTGATTTTTTCAAATATTTATTTGACTAGCTCATCGGAAAATTTCAGTCTTGCTATTTTTAAGATTTTCTTCCATTCACATCTTCCATTTTTAGTTCTCATAGATTTCAAAAATGGTGAAATACCTATAGTATTCACAACCATTTCTGTTAGGACACAAGAAATCAGTTGACGCTAGGCTACAGTCACATTACTGCTTAATATCTTCCGTTCTAGTTCTGGTCTTGAACCTCCCATTTCATAAAGTTTCCCAACTCGTCGTCGCATAATTCAAATGAATTAATTTTATTCATTTGTAAATAAGAGCGAACCGCGAGAACTGACATTACGCCCCACAGCGTCCTCTGGCGACAAAAATTGCCGTGGTTGCTCTCATTCAATAATCACACAATACATTGACACATGTCAACGAATATGGACATGTCCATAATCGTTGGGCACATGTTATGTCTCACAGAACTATAACTTAGAGTTGTATAACTTAGAGTGATAGTTCTGTGGTCTGTAAGGATATCCTCAGAGTAATAAAAGACAATAGAGGGGCCTTTTCCATCCTTACATTGAAGGCAACATAACTTTGTTTGTTTACGGGAAGTAAGTTGGACCATAAAACAGTGGCGGTTGGTTTAGTTGATAATCGGAGGAATAGTATATATTTATAAAATAAATCATTTCAGGTGAAAATGTATTCTGTTCGAATAGTTCCTACACGAAATCTCATATTATTAATGATTATGGAAATGAGGCTAGTTTTTCTACCACCTAGTAGATTTTTATTCATGTATGGCTTTATAATAAAGCACGTGGTTTACTGGGTTGAAATTAAATTATTTTATATGAACTAATTCATAACAATGATAAATGGTAATTCAAAATAATAAACTTTGCTTCATATAACCAGATGAAGAAATTTGTGATTTATTCTCAGATTTTATAAACAAGCGGTACGGTTTGTGAAGTCCGATATGAAGGATTTTCGATTAGAAATAATGATTTCACTCGAAATTGGTATCTAGGGGTGTTTGTGGACCGACATTATGAAAGGGGATATTTTTGATGTTTTTAATGATCATTTTTTTGATCTTATTCTTATAAATAAAGTTTTTGAAACTAGGTTTATATTATTTCATTATTTGACATATCCCAACCAAACAAAAAGGTTGAAAAAATGACAACCGTCATTTCTTATTGAATATTGTCTGCATGAAACGCGAGAGCATCGTGCAAAGAAAATAAAACCAAAACGAAAATCATATTCTTTGGGTGACGTAAGTTAGTTGTTAAGTGAGCAATAACAGATTTAACACCGGTTGCACAACAATAACTATTTAGTATACAAACTGAATATTGAGCAGAGGCTTTTTAATCTGTTAATCACAGAATTAATATGACTTATGGACCACATATGAAAAACATATTTTTCATTTTTAAATACAGTTTTTTTTCATTTACATTAATGATTTTTCGTAATTATAGAATTCGTCAGCATGAATTATTGAAAAAAAATATAATATCGGTCCACAAAGACCCCTAGATACCAATTTTGAATGAAATCACATAATAATATCAAACCTCAATCGTAATTATAAATATTCATGATTCCTAATCGAAAATTTGTTATATCGGACTTCACAAACCGTAACCGCTTGTTCATCAAATCTGAGAATAAATCACAAATTTCTTCATCTGATTATACAAAGCAAAGTTCATTACTTTTAAAATCAATATTTATCATTGTTATGAATTAGTTCATTTGAAATAAATTAATTTTAACCCAGTAAACCACGCCCTTTTTTAAAACATACATGAATAATTATGTAGTAGGTGGTAGAAAAATTGGCGTCATTTCCATAATCATTAATAAAAATCATATTTCCTGTAGGAACAGAATACACCTGAAATGATTTATTTTATAAATATATAATATCCCTCCGATTATTTATCAACTAAACCAATCGCCACTGTTTTATGGTCCAACTTACTTCAAATGTAAACAAACTCTCCATAACCGCTCATTACCCGCACCCCCCTCTCCAATAAATTGTACAGAAAAAGATAGTACGATACCCGCTTCAAACTACATGTATTGTATTGGTATAGGCATGGCAACTCTATGTCTTATTATTACTCTGAGAGGATATCGAATTATGTTTGTCATTTTATACGGTTTTCCATTGGTAGAACTAGTGGTGACCACGTGTGGCACATACTGCACGCATTCTGTAAAATTTCAATATTAGTGTAGTTCCGAAGAAACAACATTTTATACACGTCACTTAACACCACCTGCTCCACAAATTAAATATCTGTGCTTGCTTTTGAACTTGTAGTTCAAAAGCAGAAGTTCTGACCTAACATCAGTAAATTATTGAAATGAGATAAAAAAAATTGATATTATTTTTACTTCTTTGTCAAACAATGGCAATAAATCTGACTTTATTTTCATCTGAAAAAAAGCTTTCATTTTGAGTTTAGTAGTTCATATGTTCAGTGTAATTGCAGGATTTTATAGTAGTTCTCGTAATTGGACAAAGTACCTCAATGTAATGATATCAATACAAAAATGCAGTTTCAATATACTTGTATTTTATATAGTACAAGTATAAATAACTTTTTTTTGTGTTGATAACTACATTTTAATACCAAATTATCAAACACATTTTCAATCAGATATATGTTTCTATGATAACTGATGAAGCACTTGATTTTTTCAAATGCCCATTCAGATTTTTCACTTTGAATTTACTTTCGAAATATTAAAATGAAACAAAAAGAGTTTTCTATAGAGATGGGTTTATTAAAAACTATACAAATCCTACTTAACTAATGCTGTACAATTATATAAAGAAATATATTCACAATATACATTTCAATAGCATTCTTCAGAGAATTCACAAATGCTTTTTCTACATGGCTATCCTGTAACTCATTAAACTCTCTGGCAAGAGTTATCTCAACGATTTTTGGGTACATTAGGAAAAGAACATCACAACATAAAATTAATTGGACATTTTTTTCAGATCGTTCAATATTTAATGAATAATCAAATTATCATTTCAATTATAGTCTATACCAGGTGTCTCCAAACTACGGCCCGCGGGCCAAATCCGGCCCGCGACAGCCAATGATTTACTGTCATCGATTTGGCCCACGACAGCCAATGATTACCTAATTGTTGTTACTATTGCTGTGATAAGTTGAAGAAGAAAACACAGAATGATAATTACTCGGTTTTATTTACTTGCAAGGTAAAACTTACCGACAGAAATGATGACAAAGAAAACTTAAGTATCTAAGTTTAAGCAAGGGCAGAAATTGGCCCTTGGAACAAACTGAAAAAATCATTATGGTCCGAAGGCTTCAAAGTTTGGAGATCACTGGTCTATACGAAGTCCATCCAAACAGTTAAATAAAAGACCGATGGCATTACTATTTACTACTAATAAAAAAAATCCGTGTAGGTTCATGAAAAATAAAATTAATTCTGACAAAACAAAATTATACCACGCCGCCCATATACAAAGAAACTCCAAACGTTCCGTAACTATATGGTTTTTATGCCATGCGAATTGACTTCGTATGTACTATTAACTATTTTAAGTACAATACAACATTAAATTAGTTGCATCTATATGTAATATCATAAAATGACAGGTCAATGTTCATATTCTATATTGAGGTGTGCTGCAACCTAGATGGTATTTCTTACGATACGTATATCAATGTTGACAATGGTAGAATTTTGAAACTCACTGGTACAAATTCAAGCAGTCAAAACCACATTACAGAAAATAACTTATGTGGGCAGCATTCATTATATTTAGCCGCCAAATGGAATTGACAGCCCTTGCCTGGTTTGCAAATACTACAAGCTTTTATGCTTGATCTAGTGAACCAGTCTACTTTTTTTTACAAAACATACTTCGATGGCTGTGCCTTATATAAAAACAGTTCGAACAAGAGAATCTGGTTTTCATTTCCACTCGTGGCAGTAGCTATGCAAATCACGATTTGTTCAAAATACATGGTAGAATATTGTTCAGACTGTTAGTACCTGATTTGGTTTTGTCATCCTGCTCAAATTATTACACATTCGTCCTTTCAATTCTTGACATATTTGGTGAATTGGAATGAATATGAAATATAACGATAACCTTGAAATAATGAGAGGAGCATAAAAAAATAGATAAATGTTCATGAAAACTCACTATTCACCAGCAAACCCTAGGTAAAAAAAACATTTGAACCTCGTTATAGAAACACCAATATTGTATGATTTTTGGTGACAAAAGCAGCTTAGGATGAGTTACAGAAAAAGATGTAACTATCCAAAAGGGAACTTTTTTGAAGAAACACTCTTTTAAGGTAATTGGGGCTTCATTATTGTTATCTCTGAGAGAGTAAGAATCACTCCCAAATATTTTAAAGCTACAGAAGGTCAAGTGAGAATCAATATTCTTACAGCAAAACTTTTGATTAGATAATTAAGGTTTGTAACTGTCTGTTGATTCAAACAGACTATTATGTATAGCATAAGAACAAAGGCTTTCACGGCAGGAGTCACGATTAGAGAGAACAAAATCAGAACTTGTAGGCTGTGGTCGAATGGAAATTGTAGTACTAAACTGTTTGTCTGCTACTGCGGCAGATTTCATCAGTGGTAAATGTGTCGATTGCAAGGATAAAAGTTATATCTCGAAGTCTCAACAATGACTGACTGACGAGCAACATGTTCACACCTATTCATAGTTTTAGAGCGTGGTGGGGGTTGCGGTCGTGATGATAGTGGTGGGATATCCATGCGAATGCTCACTCTTGATTAGATCGCAATTTAGCCAGGTCGTTCTGAAAAATCCCCATTTATATTGGTTTGTTCTGATTGGTCTACACTGTTGATAGGTATACTGCTGGTGAAATGTCTATAGGAATTGAAATATATCCCATTTCTGACCTTTTTGAGTACTGAATACCATGTCTTGTTGCCATGTTGTTTTGATTGGTCCGCACTTCTGTTAGGTTGTTTCTGACCAGTGGGATCCCATCCCACTAATGATATCTGCTGCGTAGAAGATACAATGTTTGATATATATTACAAGTTCAATTTGACCATGGCCTATCAGCCCTAATTATTATGTATGAGGTATTTCATCTCTGAGATGAGAAGTGTATGTAACTAATATATAGCTGCTATGATTATGATGACAGAAGCACATTTCAATCTTCGAATCAATAGAAATATAGAAAAAATATGGAATATTTTTATCACAGATCATTTCTATTTGTTCATAAATGCACAAAAGAACATTCAACTTACTTACTTTCAGAACTTCAATAACCACAACTCGATAACGGGCTTCAAGTATCACATAAGTTTCAAATCTATAATCAGTGTTCAAACATGTGTCTGTGTTTTCAGTCTTAATGCCAAGTCATCTATTCAGATGTTCCAATATGTTTCAAATGTAATGTGGTCAACCCACAGTACTTCTCTATACGTTAATATTACAATCTTCCTCGGAATCTCTATTCAATGACTTTCTCTCCTCCGAGCTGCCATAACTCTTATACCTATCCTTCAGTTTTTTAAACTTCCTACTACCATCAGTTTCATAGGATTTACTTGCTCTACGATACCTAATGTTTTCCCTAGTTTTAACTTTTTTGCTTTTGTGTTTCTCATCTTCAGACTTTTTCAAATTTTTCAATTCCAGATCATAAGCTGCCGTTTGACTAACTATATCCTGAGCGTTAGCCTGTACTGCCACATCATTCGACGTCTTTGATTGTCTAGACCCTCGATTTTTTTCATAACCAACAGAATTTGCGGAGTTTAAAGAACTCTGCACGAGTTGATTAATTTCAGGACATGACGAGCTGTCACTTTTTATATTACAGCTGTCTGAATTACTGCTATATTTTTTGCGAGATAATTTCATTATTCTTGATTTCCTACTAGAACGGGATTCCTGACCCGATCTGGAACGTTTTTCCTGCCCATAGTCTTTTTTTATTGTGGCAGATCCCTCGGTATCGCTGGAAGAGCTTAATTCTTCTATTTGGATACCTTGGCATAGTGACTTCATCACTAATTCGTCATTTAGATCCAAGTTATTTGTATGGCTGCTGAGTTTCATGTTGAAAGTGCTACCAGTAATATTTAGAGAAACATTCTCATCTTCACTTTCACTCTTGACAAGATTATTGTTATATGGTATCACCAGCTTTCCAGACAGAAACTGGTTAATGTGTTGACCATCTAAGCCTGCATTACCAGTTCGCCGATTTAGATTTGGTTGAAAACTCTTGACATCCCCTCTATTTGTAAGAGCATTTATAAACTGCAAACGTGAATCTAAACTAGTGCTGCTTCCTTGTTTTCCTCCAGACCTCGATAAACGTCTTGAAGTATGGCTCAGATTTCTGGAGTGACTTCTAAATTGTCTAGTAGCTTTGCGCTTACTTGATTTATGTCTTCTTGAGTTGATCTGTAAAGTAAATATTGTTATCAAATCTTGTAATACTAAAAATTCTCAATAAATTTCTACTGATATATTTCATTGAAATTGGGTATTGTAACGTCTCTGGTTCTGACAGACTCTATGATGAATGATAATTGAAGGTGATAGCGAACGACATAGATAGTGGAGTGGACTGAGAGAATTGAGATACTGAGAAATTTGCTTGCACAAGTTGCTTGTAAATCAAACCCGGATAGTGTTCAGGCAGAATACTAATTCATTCAGACTATAATTACATCTATTTACATCTGAATATCTATTGCTACCTAATTGTCTAAGAAATTTTGTTTGGAGAAAACAAACACGAAGTCGCACAAAGCACTTTATTGTACCAATTCAAAAATTCATTTACCAATCACTTGTATAAAAATATCGTAATATTAGTTAATGTTGGCGTTGACAACCGTGTTAGCCACAGAAAGTTGATAATTGTTCTTGAGTTGGTATGGACCAAAATGACTGACAACTAGTATAAAATGTACTGTGAATTAATAAATAATAAAGTTGGTTGTAATTCGTACTGATCATATGAATATATAAATGAAGGTGGATTATATATGGGACAACCTGTGTAATGATATAACAGTGGAAGGCTTAATAAGCAGCAATTGAACCTCGTAGAAATTAACTGCTGGTGGTGATGTATCTAGAATAAATCTGGGCAGCAAAAAGGTTAAATAGCAACAATCCAAATTTGAAAGAATGAATGACGTACTCCAAACCTCAAAATTTATAATTAATTCGAACAACGGTTTACAAACTAAATCAGAGAACCTCCAAGCCTTCAACAATTGAGGCGTGAATCTGAATGTTACTGTTAAACTCGTGAAGACTCATTAAATGATTCGTCAAGGAATATGAGTCTTGGTGGAATTTCCTCCTTTGGCTATGACCTATCTCATGTAAATAGTGCAATTTGAGCTTGAGAGAGAAGTTGCTATTGGATCAACTATCGTCTCGATGTTGAGGTATGGTGTAAATAACACATGGAAAATCGTCGATGGGGAGGAATAGGCAAATTAGCCTAAATATCTGCTTTTATCTTGGCTCGAATACTGGCTTTCATCATGTGTCTCTAAAATAATCACTCAAATATATCCATTTCAAACAAGAAGAAACAATGTCCAATAGAATAAATAATGAGCCCTAATTTATTGTTCAATATTTCCAAAATGTGAAGAAATTTAATTTTGTTCCACCAGCAGAACCCATTGATTAAAGAAAAACAGCAAATGGAAAATTGGCGATAGGAGGAAATATGATCCGAAAATTAAGGAAAATTAAAGACTCGATGCCACGCTATACAACATTGGGGGTAAATAGTTAACGCTTCATAAAATGTTCAATGCTGAATATTGTGAAACAAGAGCATTTCCAGTATTGTGCACAATGTTGCAAAGTCAACCACAAAAGTTGTGTGTGTGTTGTGTGTATTCCAAAAACACTTTATTGTGAGATTTTCACTAAATTGTTCAACTGTTGTTGAAAGACACGCCAGATGAAGCCATTCTATGGCGAAACACGTGTTGCGTTTTTGTAAAACAATTTAGTGAAAATCTCACAATAAAGTGTTTTTGGAATACGTTAGTTATGAATTTTCATCAAGTATCGGCCGATTCCATCATATAGTTCATTGAAAGTTTCCAGTTCACTTACTGTGATTCTGTTGAATAGTATTATGCCATTGAGAGAAGTATTCTGGAACCAACAATAAGTGAATTAGAAGATAGTGATGGTTTTAAAAAAACTCATATTTAATGAATTTTTCCTAAATGATGTTACCCAAAGAGAAGAAGAATGGAACTCTATTATCAATTATGTCACATGAAGATACATTTTTGGGAATACTTTTCAATAAATCATTAATTTCGAATTTGCACGTCGATAGTGTCTGCAGTAAACTGAACAAAGATTTTTTTTTAAATTAAGCAAAGCAACCAACGTATAGAACGATAATTTATTGAGAACACCAGCCCACACGTCATCTAAATTTTAAAAACCTCCCCAGTACAGTGCTGTTACGTTTTCTGATGATAAAACTCCAAATCAAGCAGTATATTTTGTTATAATTGTGAAGGATTTTTTATTGAAAAATGTTTTTATAGTGTACATTATTTATAGTTTTTCATTATTTATCGGGTTTAGAAAAAATAGCGTATGCAACTCTCATGTAATGGTTATTAATACACTCGCATATACCATACAAAACTCGCCTTCGGCTCGTTTCGTATCCCGGTTAATGCTCGTGTCTTAATAACCATCATTACATGATCGTTGCATAATATACTATTATTATTGTTATTAATTTTTTTGCGTTGAATGAAGACCAAAAAATTATGGAATAGAGAAAAAATTAGCCTAAAACTGTGGCCTGAAAATAAATCTATGAATCCAAGGTGATCTAGCTTAATAAATATACAAGTGTGAAGTAACTGTATTTATTTTCGAATACTGAAAGTCAAAGATTATGTTGATATAACAAGCTAACCAACTCATGACAGCTACGGAAGTAGCTTATTGGTTTCAGCTGATTTTTCATTCCTATAGCGATAAATGAAATTTATTTTGAAATACTACTCTGTTGAAAAAATAAGATGAATTTTCATTTTTCTCAAAAAATATTTATTTATTCATCAATTTCTATTTTGTCCCCTTCGAAGTAGTTCCCCTCAAATATAATATACTTGTGCCAGCGTTTTTTCTAATCCTCGAATCAGTTCTGATATGTACTTTTTGTTATCAGCGTTGTTGTCAGCGATTCGATTTTTGTATCATCAATTGTCGCGCCGCACTGTCCTTAAAAGTTCTGTTCAATCTTGGGAACAGGAAAAAGTTGCAGGGTGCCGAATCTGGTGAGCACGGTGGCTGAGGCATGTTTACAGTGTTATTTTTGGCCAAAGAATTACAAACAAGTGAGGTGCATTATTATGATGATGAAAAAGCCATGAATTATTTTTCCACAATATTGGACGTTTTCTTCACATTGCCTCTCACAAGCGGCGCATAACTTCAAGATAATACTCCTTGTTGATCATACGACCAAGTGAAAAGAACTCCTTATGCACTAGCCACTGTAGTAGAAGAAAACAGTGAGAAAAACCTTGGCGTGCTTTTTTGGTGTTGGCCTTCCTGGATCCTTCAATTGGGTCGATTGGACTTTGGTTTCGAGGTCATATGTTATAACCCTTATGTTATGTTATAACCCATTTAAGTGAATTCAGTTCCTGAATGGTGCTCATGCAACGGTTTTATAGGCTTCAACACAGTGAAAAGCTTATCAAAATAAATAATGGCCAACAATCTCAAAAACTAACAAATATGTAATTATCTCATAATTTGTTTATTTCAGTAAAATACTATATGAAACACTATGTACGCTCTGTATCTCAATAGTTTCACCCCAAATGTCCAAATAATGTATTACAATAACTTATATGTCAAGCCTATTATAAGTACTAAAAAGAAGAACATTTTTAAAAGAGTTATAGAATTATAAACTAAATTCTGCTCAGAATCCTTCATTTGTATATTTTATTGAAATATTGGAATATCATGTTAAAAGGTACGACCTCGTTAATCCTTAGCTCGCACAAGTTTTGAAATATTTTTCCCTTTATTTTTATTCACAACCATTGGACATGTTGGATCAATTAGATATTGAAATATATTTATAAAACTATTGTAAATTTTGTGGATATTGTCACAACTTTCATAGACAATCTAAAAAATCCCCTTTTCAATAAATAATTTAAAATTTGTGAGGTTCTGTTCATTGGTATTACTACATGTCATCGATTCTTTTAGTGATTTAGACTTATTTGGTTGTCAATTCGAAATGATTTCAATAATAGTTCCAAAATGATTGGTGAAATTCATATTTTTTTATGGTTTTGAAATACCTAGATTTGCAAATATTTATAAAAAGTAATCTAATTTACTTTCACTAATTGGGTCATGCTTATCAGAAGGGCACCAAGCGACATTTGCGTAATTTCGAGAAAATGCCTTCTAAAGTTGCAACATTGCAGACACTTACTTAATTACCTTCAAATGACAACATTCATTTATGATTGATGTGAATAATTCAATTAACTTAATTTATGAAAAAAGTGGTCTCAAAGTACGAATTTTCATATAATTTTGAGACTTTTATCGCTTAGTTCCTTTCTAGTAAATAAGCTTAAATCCAGAAAGATGCTGTACAAAATGAAAATGAAACGTCAGTTGTTAAAAAATACTTATTTTAATTGAAACAAAACTCTCAACTGAACAAAAATTTAGTTTAATGCAGAAAATATTTCCAATTGAAATTTTTAATCATTGTTATTTTCCTCCTCAACTCATTTTCGAAGTCCAAATCTGGACCAAATCCCTCCAAGTCATCTTCTAATTCTGCTCCCTTCAAATTTTTATAGAACTGTTCTGCATCCGCCGGAATAAAAGGCATCAGCGCCTTAAGATCCGCAAGTTTTTTTTGTTGAATTTTTTTTCCTTCTGGCCAAAGCATTACTAGATTTATTTGTATTGAAATTTGATTGGAATTCATCATTATTGTTATGAGTATAGTCAAAAAGATACTGAAAGGCTCTCCTTTTGTTATTTTTGTAACTCTGGTTTTGAGCCAACTAACTTTTTTTTTATTTTGATCTTGTTTTCTGTTAACAACTGCACGTTCTATTGCTTGTACAGAAAAAAATCTTCTTTCTTAATTTCTGTTACGGTCAATGGTTTTTTATGTCGGCAATGCTTCATTATGTTTATATAATCATCGCTAGTATAAATCCTTTGATTCATCTTTATTGCTTTTTCAATATGTGAAAAATCTGAATCATTTGGTACTAGATACTTGAAATAAACTGTTTCTAAAGTTTGATGATTGATAAGAATTGTTTTCATCATTAAAACTATCCTAATTTTGCGATTCTGTCCTCCGCAACTATCTGACCACATTATCAGCATTTTTGTGTTTTGACTGAGATGATTTTCAATGAACTTCTTCAGTACAGATCCAACTTGCGGGGCCCCTCGCCCAGCTGTCCCCTCTTTCCATACTAAGCAGTATCAATTTTTTCCACAATGGACACCTTTATTGTACAGCCAGAGTTGCCTTTTATAGAAAACTAAGTTTGTGAATGATTATGAATAAAACTAACCGACAGTATAATTAGAAAGTGAACAATGATCAGTAGAGAATCAAGTCACATGGAGTAGTTGAAGCAACATTACTCCTCGTTTCGTTGAATATCTAATCGAGACCAGGTGTTTAGGTCCTTTCTGATTTATTCTGTATCTGCAATGATCCACTTAGTTCCCAGTGCAAGGTCATTTTTCAAGCGTTAATAAACACCTGGCGCTTGGTTCTGTTCAGAAACATGACCCGAGAGTACTTATTTGTCGTACAGTGCCTTAAACTCATTTTCACAAAAGTGTCGCTTGGTTCCTTTCTGATAGGCATTACCCAATTTTTCCATGGATAATAGCAAGTATTCTTGATTAAAAAATTTTGAAATATCTTGTGCTTGACAAGTAGTTCATATTAAAGAATTAGGTTATAAGACTTCTGATTTCCCATAATTTGAAGTTATTTCAAAACCAGCCTTACTAGACTAAATTATCGACAGACAGATTTTCAAAGATAGTCCAATTGTTAGTAAGTTAAATATTATTCTTCCGTATGAAAATTGGAGGTGGAACTTCATCTTATTATTCATTTGTTTTATTACCCTATCCCTATTTGTTGTATTAAATAACAACTCTAGTGACAGAATGTTCAAAATAAATAATACATTAATTGTAAATAGATCAACTAATTGTTGCAAATGTATCGTCATATCATCAGTCTCACCTTTCTAGTAGCCTTCAGTTCCGCAATTTGCACTGACACTTGGCTGTCTCCCGAGTTTCGTCTACTCTCAATGCTAACATGTCTCAGACTGACACTCACTTCGCTGTCTACTGAATAATTATTGCTTGACACAGAACAAACCACCTCATTTGGCACTGCTCCTCTACGATTCACTAGACGAGGTAGATTGGCAGCCCAAGTCATAATGAAATCATTACTAGCAGCACTGTTCAACTCGAAATCAAGTCCCACAGGATCGGTGTGGTTTTCATAAATGGATATCTCACCACCTTCTTTAAATTTTTTACGCTGCGCAAAAGCTTTGGCGATTATCTTGTGCTTCTTGAGCTTCATAGGTTCTTCTACCTCACAATGAAATTTTCTGAAAATGAAAGTCATGTATGATATAATGGTAACATTTTGTGCTTTCAATATGGAATACAACCACAATAATCACAGAAAAATAAAGAAAAATATTAAACTACCTAGGTATCTAGGTATGTGGAACTCAGGACTCTACAACATTTTTATATTTTTAGCAAGCCACTTCCAATTATCCTGAAAGTAGGCATGAACTTTGTCACTTCAAGTAAATTCATTGCATGAAACTGTTGGTAATCAAACAATGAATATATTCTCAAAACACTTTACTACACATACCACAATTGACATTTATTTTTCACAAACAACCACTAGATAGCGCTAATCCAATGTGGCATCATCATAATGAGTTTTTGTGATTTTTTTGTTTGCTAATGATCTGAAGATGTTTGAAGTATTCAAGTATTCATGAGTCATCTGATACTGAATTATTATAGTAAGACTTATCTATATTTTAAAATCAAGCAATCAGAACTGAAAACAACAAATACAATCAAAGATTTAGGAATCACTCCTAACCGAAAAATGTCATTCAAACCCCATATTGCAAATGTTAACTTTGGAGTACAAAAATGATGACCCAACTATTTAATGGATACTGTTTTTTCTATGTCCAGGCATTTACAATTGAAACTTTTTGTGCATGAGTAGTCTCATCATCTGTGTTACATAGGATATTTATTTGTTCCATCTCATATGTTGACCAATAACAAGACCCAACTATTTAATGGATACTGCTTTTTCTATATCCAGGCATTTACAATTGAAACTTTTTGTGCATGAGTAGTCTCATGATATGCGTTACATAGGATACTTGTTTGTTCCATCTCATATGTTGACCAATAACAAGACCCAACTATTTAATGGATACTGCTTTTTCTATATCCAGGCATTCACAATTGAAACTCTTTGTGCATGAATAGTCCCATCATCTGTGTTACACAGGAAACTTGTTTGTTCCATCTCATATGTTGAACAGTAACAAGACCCAACTATTTAATGGATACTGTTTTTTCTATATCCAGGCATTTACAATTGAAATTTTTTGTGCATGTCATTTTGTGCAATTTAAGTTCATTAACAGGTGGTTAATCATCTGAATTTAGTGAAAACGTCATAAATTTTGTTTTTTTTACAATCAGATTCAATAAATTATTATTTAGCCAGAGAAGAATTTTTCTCACATTAGTTCCAGAAGTATAGACTTTTACCAGTGAAGATCATGATCATCTCATCAGCATAACATACTGTATGACCGTGAAATGTATTAATCTGCATTACTGTGTTGATGTAAGCAAGAAAAAGAATTGGGCCCAAGTACTGTTCCCTGACGTACACCCACATTGATTTGTAATGCTGCACTGAGCTTGCTACCAATTTTAACAGTTTGTATTTGTTCTTTTAAATAATAGATGTTCAATTTCTATTATTAATATTGATACACTTGTGTTCAAACCAACAGAACAGTTTTTCCACTCTAAAGATACGTGATGAAAATCGCTGTTCACGGAATTTTTGTTTGACATACGGAAATATATTTTTTTATCCTGTAAAACTTTGAAGGATTAGGTTCAGGATTAGATGTAATGTGATGCCAAAAAACAAGCATTTGTTTTCTTGGAAGTGTTTCATGAATGAACAGCTCAAAATACCCAAACAGTGGATTGTTGCTTAATTTCTAGTTCATACAAATATATCCATTCAACTATATTCCCATATACAAATTTACAAAAATCCTTTTTGGGTTATGGTATATTTTGCGGACAGAATCCATCTAGAACAGATATTTTTATGCCGATTTTCTTCAATCAACTTGCTCACGACATCGACATATTTGGAATCACAAGAAATTCTGGCCACCCTTCATGAAATTTGTCACTGATGGATGCATGACAACAATAAAAGTCTACAAACAAATCGTAAACAATATTTTCTGATCACCGAAATTGAACGTCACAGTCTTTTTAAATGATTCTAAAGAATAATAAAGTTCTAAATCTACATTAAATGTTTTACAAATCTCACAATTCTACCTATAGACTCATTGTAGCCATAGTTGATATTCTTTTTGGATTTACATTTCAAGTTATTAGTATTTTGTGAATTAGTGTAAGATATGATTTTAATAATCTATGAGCCATTTATGATGCACTGTTTCTGGAACCTTTGGTGTAGTAATGAATATTACTGGAGTTTTTTCCCAACACCAAATCGTTATTTTCAACACCTGGACACGTGTTTCCATCACCGAGTGATTATCTTCAAGAGGAAGATTAATCTGGAAACTTCCCTAAGCTAACGCTATTTATTTATACCATACAGGTATACCACCCTAAATTAATTTTACAATACGGGAGAGAACAGTACTTGGCCCAATTCTCTTTCTTGCTTACATCAACGCAGTAATGCAGATTAATAAATTTCACAGTCATATAGTATGTTATGCTGATGAAATTATCATGAAGTCTATACTTCTGGAATTAATGTGAGAAAAAGTCTTCTCTGGATAAATAATAATTTATTGAATCTGATTGTAAAAAAAAACAAAATTTATGACGTTTTTAGTAAATTCAGATGATCAACCACCCATTAATGAACTTAAATTGCACAAAATGACATGCACAAAAAATTTCAATTGTAAATGCCTGGATATAGAAAAAACAGTATCCATTAAATAGTTGGGTCTTGTTACTGATCAACATATGAGATGGAACAAACAAGTATCCTATGTAACACAGATGATGAGACTACTACTACAAAAAGTTTCAATTGTAAATGCCTGGACATAGAAAAAACAGTAACCATTGAATAGTTGGGTCTTGTTATTGGTCAACATATGAGATGGAACAAACAAGTATCCTATGTAACGCAGATGATGAGACTACTCATGCACAAAAAGTTTCAACTGTAAATGCCTGGACATAGAAAAAACAGTATCCATTAAATAGTTGGGTGTTCTTATTGGTCAACATATGAGATGGAACAAACAAGTTTCCTATGTAACACAGATGATGAGACTATTCATGCACAAAGAGTTTCAATTGTAAATGCCTGGATATAGAAAAAAGTATCCATTAAATAGTTGGGTCTTGTTATTGGTCAACATATGAGATGGAACAAACAAGTATCCTATGTAACGCAGATGATGAGACTACTCGTGCACAAAAAGTTTCAATTGTAAATGCCTGGACATAGAAAAAACAGTATCCAATAAATAGTTGGGTCTTGTTTTTGGTCAACATATGAAATGGAACAAACAAGTATCCTATGTAACACAGATGATGAGACTACTCATGGGTAAATTTTATATTCTCAAAAAAATTATTTATGTCATACAACAAATTGTATTTTTTCGAGAAAATAAATTTGTTCTGATTTTAATTCATGAGAGATGTCATAAATTTTTTACCTCCTGATATATCTTCCCCAAGCATGTAGCATAGCTCCACACCAAACCCAAGATGCCATTGCAACACCGCTGCCAAAGACAGCTAACAATTGTAGCTGTAGCTTAGAGACACTTGGGCGATCTGCTTGCTTGCAGTGTGTGTAATCAGAACTGAAACTTGTCAATTTGCATCTAGAACAAAAATTATTAGTTAGTAAGTGACAAGTATAGTCATTACCTGATATTTATAATAATTACGACAATGGAAATGAATACAAATTGGGCTAGGTTAGGAAAAGTATACAACTATAGTCCAATTCCATAATAGTAGGCACTAAATTCTCAGAAATATTATTGCATTGAAACGAAAACATTGTTGTCAAGGTTATGATTCTATATATTTTTTCATCATGTTTCCTCATCTATTTAATATAATTTCTGTATGCCACTGCAAGAGACTGATGAAGGCAAAAACGTCGGTCATTTCTGGGAATTTAGTGCCTACTATTTCGGAATTATAGTATAGCTAGAAAATCTGAACAGGCTCACTTTCATTGCGGGATTCACATTTTGTGAAAAAATATCAATAGCTATAATACTCTTCCATACCAGAACATGCTTTCAACTGGTATTAATATGATTTACTTCTTAAAACATGACAATCTTCACAGATGGCATAACAACAGATATATGTGATGGAATTGGCCGATACTTGATGAAAATCGATAATGTATTCAAATAAAACTTCATTGGCAGATATATACTGAACAGTTTACAAAACCGCAACCCGAGTTTCACTATACAATAGCTTCCTCAGACGTATTGATACCGAATGAACAATTTTGTTGACAAAGGTTCCTTGAAGTGCTATTTGTTGACAAAGGTTCCTTGAAGTGCTAGAAAATAGGATTGCCTTTAAACAAGCAGATGAATCTAATCTACTTATACTCTTTCTGTCATCGCGATCAGCGGCTCAATCTGCATCCAAGAGTAATCTACTAATACTGGCGAATCTGTAGTCTTTGCAAAAACAAGACTATTGTCGTTTGTGCAAGTCAAATATCGCAAAATACGTTTTCCTGACTTCCAATGATGTTCTGAAGGTTTATTAAAAAATCTAGCGAGGTAGAAAACGGCGAAAGTAATGTGATAAACATAAAAGAGCATAACGAATTTTTGTATGGAACATTTTCATTTATAGGAGTATCACTTTGAACTATAAACAGAAAGCCTACCTCCACTGGAGTTGAGAGAACATTGCAGAATTCCATATTATTATTACTCAATAACTTATCAATTAACTTAAAGGGAGAGATGGTAATATCTTCTCTTTTAATCTTCCAGCAAACAAAAGGATTTGCAGTACTCACTTCTTCAATATTCAATTTCTACTCATTACCTGTGATAAAAGCATCTTCAAAGAATAACAGGGAAAATAAGTTTTTCTTGTAGTACAAAGTCATGATTCAAGAGTAAAAATCATCTTCAACATTCAATTACTCATTCCAACAGCGAGATGATTTTCTGAGTTCAATGTTGTATGTACATTCATATTTAACTCTCTCTGGTGTTTTTACATAAACTTCGTGATCCAGAAAACCGTTGAGAACAGTTATTGGAACATTGATTTATTTCAATTATATTGGTGCACAAAAGTGAGAAACAGTTTTATCGTTTGCATTCTATACATTTGAGCGTAACTCTGTCAACCAACCTTTCTATCTTAGTACCATTTACTTCGATAGTAAAATCAGTTTCACTATCAGGTGCATCCTTAGGAAACAAAGTTTTCAACCTTTTGTGAGCTTCTAGCACTCTATGTATTGTCTCTTTTCAGTCTGGTAACATGCTGGATTCTCTGAAAATTCGTGGTGTACTTTTAAATGTAAACATACAAAAGGCATTGTGGAGCTCATAATCTTCTAGATGACTTAGTATTTTCTCATCTCGACTGGGTATTTCTAGAATTTGTTCACTTGGATAATTAGGCTCCATTTCATTTTCAAGATATGCATCTTCAGGTAGAATTTTTTCTATCATATCCTTTGTCTTTGAACTCGACATGACTGCCTTCTTATCAAAATATAGCATAATGGTTTCATCAAATGACACATGTATTCGAAATCAATTCATCTCCATTATTATCAGCCTCGGTTTTTTAACTTTTACATTTTAATAGTATTGTTCTATTGTAAAGTGTTTTTATTCGTTTTTGATTTCAACAAAAACAATGTGAAAAATCATAATTTATGTGAATTATTTGTCACCGTGGGTCCCTTATCGGTAACAGTACCTATAACAAATGAATGCTTCAGGCCTGGCACTACCAGGACTTCTATATTGAAAACTTGTCGCTGAGAAGTAATTTTTCTATTTGCAGTCATGAATTGACCATTTGCTATATGAATTTTTGCATCATGTTCTATGTCAGTTATATCTGACATAAAAAGCATCAATTTTCTTTTAATTTCGTGAAGATTTGAGTGAGTAGATGATCCAGAATCTAACAAAAATAATTCTCAGAAAATTCATATTGACAGTAAAAAGTTACTCGCACAACCTCAGTAAAATGTCCTCGTCTATAAACTTTAATGAATGTATCATAGAAGTAAGATTCACTATGAACTCCACTGTAATATCCATAACTTTGTTTGTGCCTTGAAATGATTTGATCACCACAAAACAGTTTTTGCTGGATTTAAATGAAACTTCATCACTTTGATAGTTTTCGATTTCATTTTCAGTTCTTCGTAAAATAACCCAGCTTTTACAAAATTCAGTAATGCGGTAATTATAGCACTAAATTCGTATGGTAATGACACTAGCAAATGACACACCTTATCAGTTTTATCCACGGTCCTCGTTTTGAGAAAGCAGTTGTTCTAACGAAAACGTAATTTAATGATTTGATTATGCATTTTGCAATCCTTAAATTAACCTAAAACCTTCACCAAAAAACCCCTGAATAGCGTCTTTGACTAAGAATTCTTTTCTTTCTGTATCATCGCTAAAATCTTGATCTTTCTCCAATAATGCTCCTATTCTGAATAACTGATTATTGAAATTCATTCCAATAAGAACGGGAATGACGGCTGTAGAAGTCAACGACATATTTTTAATCTTAGTTTGTTTCCATAAAACTCCACGCAATAATCTACAGTTGTGAGTTTTCTTGCATGGACATTAAACATCTCAAACTATCAAGTACTCCGGGGCACAGAAAATCGGGGAGTATAAACTAACTATATAATAACAAGAATTGTTGAATCTATTGAATACACTTTCCCAACACCAGAACAAAATTACGGTCTCTCGACGCACGTTTCACTAATTTAGTGTTTTCAATAGATTCATTTTACGCCAGAGGTTCCAGTACAAACTATTAAGAATTGTTGACATGAAATTGCATTTTTGGAAACTTCACTTCACGACTGGACTAAAACGTAACAACAGATATCATTTTATGTTGAGGCTGCTTTCAAAATACAAAAGAATGACCAATAGTCATAAACATATTTTTTCACCATTGATGCACTTTTAATAAATTGATTTTGAACTTAGAGAAATGGTGTTTTATATAGGTATTTTTTACTCCTAAAATTGATGAAAGTTGCACTATTTAAAATTATGTCTTGGCATCTGTGAATAACATTTGACGAGTTTATTGTTCATATGTTCTTGGAATATATTTAGTCTGGTGCTCTCATTACAGATTTCGTGTTATGTCATTCCATGTTTGTTTTGAGGTAGCCACCTGAATGGCATGAAATGTGTACTGGTATACTAGATACGTTATTTATGCAGAGGAAATGGCGCAAATTAATTTTAAGTTACTTTGTGGATATTTATAATACAATTTACATAATCAAAATGGAGTGACGCTTTTATTATTATTTTTTTTAACAGAAAATATTCTGCCAGTTGAGTCCTTTTACTAAGTCTCGATGCAGTTGAAGTCACTATATGAATCTCTATATGAATTTATGACTCTCTTGCATCTAAATGTTGTCTCATCAATGTCAGCACTCGAGAGGCTGTGTTATACCGACTTGCTACAGCATGTCCAGCACATGTTAAGGAAAGTTGAGCATATAACGAAAATGGTGAACTACAAACAAAATATTAATAATTTTATTCTCAAAAACAATACATTAAATTATATTTTCAACTGATACACACTCCTTTCTCTATTACTTATTCTTTCTTATTTTTTCCTTCCCATTATCCCAACCAACCCAACTAATGTAAAACAATTTTTATGATGAATTTAGAATTCATCTAGTCAATATTATCATTATTATTTTTCAAAACTCGCACTGTATTGAATACTACCAAAACAAATATATTAGCATTCAAGTGTAATGTACCTGATATCCCCCTAGAGTAGAAAAATAACTCCACTTTGAAATTTTTGGGAATTTATTTAGATGGAAATTTTAAAATTCTCTCAGCATATGCACACATCAACAAAAAATTGGCATCAGGATGTTTCGCACTGAGAAATATCTTAAATTAACTGGAGTGTGCTGCTGCGAAAGTAGTGTACTATGCCTTAATAGACTCTCATCTAAGGTATGGTATTCCATTTTGGGATGTTTGCAGTAAACAACTTATGCAGCCGGTTTTTGTCTTGCAGAAAAGGGCTATCAGGTACTTATGTAAAGCGAAATGGCGGGATTCATGTAAACCCCTTTTTCGAGAACATAGAATCCTTACGGTTATTTCAATATTTATATTGGAAACCGTGTCAATTATACATAAAAATAGAGAGAACTATGAATCTACAGCTACAACCATATACCACACAAGGTGGTCAAATGAACTGAGTCCACCGATTCCAAAAACATGTTTGGTTCAAAACTCTTTGATATATAATGGAATCAGGATATACAATAAACTTCCCAATGAAATCAAAGAGACTCCTTTCATCATATTTAGAAAGAAATGTACAAATCTATTAAGTGATAAAGCCTCTTATGACCTACAAAAATATTTTAACGATGCCCTGTAATTTAGAATGTGATGAAAATGTGATTGTACTGTGTGTAAAACATATATTTTTATTCGTTGTTCTAGTTCTTGTCATGTAACCTCTGCATATGTATGTATATATAGTTTATATTTTATTTTAATCATTTATATTTTATACACTTATACTTCACATCTTATACTTCATGTTTATATTGACATTTATTTATGACATTGTGTTTGTAACAAGAATTTTATTCCTAAACAATAAACATATTATCAATTATCAATGTAAACAAGTAGATCAAAATACCCAAATGGAAGAATAGAACACTACGACACAAGCATTCATTGCTTGGGTTTGTTCTATGCTTTCTTTGTGTTTACGATGTATTTTCTTTATAGTAGATATTGTACCAAAAATATAACTGACGTGATTTTCAAAAAAAAATATGTGGATGTCCCCAGGTGTCTGCTGTCAGAAACCTCTATATTCAACACGCAACTATGGTCAACTAATGTTCAAGACTCCATCCTGGGAAGTTATAATACATTCCTAAATCTCCGACTTCAGCCTATTCGATCTGACAAAAGCAAAGGTTAAACGCCGAGTTTTTAAAGTTGAAAAAATTGTATGCATCGGAAGGACCAAAGCCAAGTTCATTGGCTGCTCGGCCAGCTCCTTTGGAAACGTACCAATCAGTACTCTCTCATGATCGCCAAACATAGCAAATCTGATCTTCTGATGATTTTACAGACTCTAACCAGTACCATTCTGCTATGTAGACATTCCAAACTCAACAGTCCACATCCTCCTTGTTGTCGTGGCAAGTATAACTATGGAAAAACGATTTGGATAGCAAATTTATTGGAAGATGCATCATTTTTCGGGTCTTCACTTCGAGTTGGTGCAGTTTCTACAGAGTTCATTTCTTTTAAGTTCAAGAAGTAGAGAAAAAATAGTAACAGTATATATGTAATAATAACTTTGTTTATTAGTGACTGTTCCAATAACCTGATCTGTTGCAAGTATGAAATGATATTTGCCATGAAGAGTTTTTCATTGAGGTTACCTCTTTTTAGTGGTGTTATTATTCCATCCAAAAATAAATCGACGTTTCCCGGGCATCTGGATGGTACAGGATACTTCTGTGATTATTATATTACATTAAAAGTTTGTATCGACTCCCGACATTGTGAGGTAATTGATTACGATGCCCGAAAATCTTATACCCAAAGAAGATGCAAAAGCCAAGAACTTCTGCCTTCTGCACTTGTCTAGCCATAATTTCTGTTATTTTATTAATATCAATATAATATTATTAAATGTTTAGGCTTTCAAATAGATACCTCCCATATTATTTTTAAAATATAATCAAATTCCGAGTATGAGGATATCTACTAATGATGTAAACAAAACGAAGTGCAAAAATATTTTTTCATGCTCGTGCCACTACTCATGCTGTTATATCATTGTTCAACTTACAAAATGTAATTTTGTAAACTATCTCTCCATAGTTTAGTATTTTGAAAAGTGTAATGATGATATCCAAATGTGATTATGCAAAACATTATCATGAATAATGTAAAGACACCCATCCTTACAATATTCATTCTAATCTTTCTGCTTGCATGGTCTGAAATAATTTCCCTACTTTCTATTTTTACTTTTATGAGAAGTATGAGACCTGAAAAATATAAAAATGTTAGATGCCTGAAAATTCTTTATATGATAAATCTTTTTGGGTGTGCTTTTTGTGTGGAGAATGGGACAAGTTATCACATAAATAAATTGATGGATGTAGCCGTACTACGTGGTAGGAGATCATGATGAAAAGAGAAATGAAAATTTCTATGTTTTTTACCATTTTTAATCGTAACTAACGTTACTACAGTTTCGTCCTATACGGACATTCTCAAACTAATACAATAAACTCTTCATTAATTGTATTAGTTTGAGAATGTCCATATCCGAAACTGCAGTAACGTTAGTCGTTACTGCAGTTTCATCCTATATGGACATTCTCAAACTAATACAATAAACTTTTTATTTATTGTATTAGTTTGAGAATGTTCATATAGGACGAAACGGCAGTAACGTTAGTTACAATTAAAAGTGGTAAAAAAACAGAAATTTTCATTTCTCTTTTCATTATCACATAAATGCTTGCATAATACAAGTAGCAAATAAAAGTATTTAGTAATTTAGGTACTCATTTAAATAGGGGGTGGCTCTGTGACAGAAAACTACTGAAATTCTCTTTGAAAACGATAGTATTCAAAGATGTTCAGGTTTTATTTGAAAATGAAGTAAATCTATTGGAGTACTTCTGAATTGAAAACAAAAGACATGTAGTTATTTTATCTAAATATCAATACCTCATGATCAATTCTCTTTAAATTCATGGGAATGGACTTTGTAAAGTTAAAATATGAGTAATTTTGGAGAATCTTTGACTTTTGTAGTATGTTATAATATAAATGCACTTGGGTAACCAATCTTATTGTGTGATTAGAATGTATATTGTTATACTTTTTGACAGTCAATAATATATTGCAAGAAAATAATTGAATTGAGCCTCAAGTATTATTTTTGCAGAATACCATCCAAAAGTGATCAACAACAAAAATTTGTGTGAAACGAAAACCTTCCAGGAACTCTGTAATATTCTGAGAAACATTTTATAAAGATATATGAAAATTATAAAAAAGTATTCATTCCACAGATCATCATACGTTAAAATATGTCATGAATATTCATTTTGATTATTTGGAATACACAGTGTGTCCAAGAGGGGGCCAAAGTCGCTTAGATTGGGAAAAAGTTGCTCATTTCAGAGTTTTTTAGGTGACATTTTATAATTTAGGAAAATTGCAATTATATGAGACAGATCAGAAGAATTGTCACCAAAATCGCTAACTTATAACAAGAGTTTTTCTCTTTCTATATAAAAATGTAAAATTGATAATGGTTTCTCATATTGTTCAGCTTAAAAAGTGGAAATGGGAATATGTTGTTGTTTTGTTTTAAGCTTCAATGTGTCCGGAACCAATCAGCATTTTCTAAAATTTAAAACGTTGTTCAAATAGGCTCTGAAATGCACAACTTTTTCATAATTAATCCTACTTTTTATCTCTCCAGTTTCCAATTTACCAATTCTTGCTGTCCTTTTCTTGGACAGATAGTATGCCATAAAATCAAAAGAGAAAGGTGGTGGACAAGCACTCAAAAAAATAGGGACAAATTGCAGGTATGCTTTTGGCTTATTGGCCTTCGTCAGTGCAGTGAAAACCCTGAACATGATCAAGTCATTTTCCAAATGTGTGGTTGGCTTATGTTGATAACTGATATTTAAGCTTATAGCAATCAAACCCATCCTTTACAATGGCTACACTGTAGTGATGAAGAAAAATAAGCCACACTTTTTCAGGAGCTTATCCATCCACTAACTTTCTCTTTGAATTTTTAAAACGCCACTCTCTAAATATTCATCTGTGTATTCCATAAAATAACTTTGGATATCAAGCCATTTGAAGAATGAAATTAAATGTTCTTCGTTAAATTCAATATTTCCCTTAATCAATTTTGTTTTTACTTTCACAACATAAACACACTGTTTTTTTCAATACCTCTCACAATTATATATCCAGATGCCAACATCGTAGCCATAACTGGAACTAACAATAACCCTGTACGAGCAGCCATGTTCTCAAAACCTACAAAGCATATGCCTGTAACATAATCCCCATCAATTTCGCTTATAGCCATGGTGATAATAGTCAAAATTAAAGGCAGACTCCATGCAGCCAAATGGAAATATGCTTGTTTTCTATCCACTCTATCCTGAATTTTTCCTGTAAAAATTGAAGAAAGTCAAAAATTGCTCTTGCATAAAATAATTTTTGGTGTGAAACAAACCATTGAAGAGTTGGACAAGAATCCGTGTTAAGGAATAGAGTTTGTTAGTTGGGTTCCCCCATCTGAAAAATGTTAGTAGGCAGATCAATAGAATGTGGCAAAGTGAATAAAGATACATGATGAATGTTGTGTTCCACATATTAATGATGTATTTAAATATCCAGTTAAACTAAGAGTCACATTAGGATCTATAAATTAGGGAAGTCAGATAGCCAAGTACGTTTTTGAGAGCATTGGTTCAGACTTAAATTATCTTAAAGTAATAAAGAGAAATGAAATATACAAAGTGAAAAATTATAGAACCAAAATTAAGGAAACGAAGAGTGAGAATGGTTTGAGAACGCCCTGGAGAACAGGCATAGATTGATTCTATGCCATAATCTTGAACCAGCTGTGGAGTTACCAAAATCATTGCTAAGGGATCATATTGGAGAGTGGAATAATAGAATAATAAGAAGCACATATCTGGGAATACAGACAGGAAAACCTTTTTGAACGGACCGCCTAAGTAAAGAACTGGAAAATGATTCCACACCACCTATTTAAAGGATATTCCAACAAAACGAAGTGTATAAAGATTATAGGGATAAAAACAGAACCTCATGTCTCATGCTAATGGATGGCACTGCATTACAGGAACCAAGAAACTCATGAATTTTTTGCTACGTAGAATAATTTTGACTTTTCATTTCTCTTCACAGCCTCATGGGCTTACTGCTTTTTTCATTCATTTTTTCATGACACCTATTTCAGCAATTTTGTTCCCTGCACTATTTTTTTCAGTCCTTTGTTGGATGTTTGTCATATTATTCTGGACATAACAGGGTTGTTAAATTTCTTGCCTCAGTGCCATGCATTAGCATAATGCACGATAAGGTGTATCTCTATTCCTTTGCTTCATTACCTGCAGCTAAGATCTTTGTTATACAACCCTATTCTGTTCAGGTGTCTTCCTAATGGACTATGTCCAGGAAGTAGCCATATAATTATTCTGAGCAGGTCCCTGCTGTGTTAAAACAGTTCTTAAGTTTTTTTTTTCAAGATGGTTTCCTTGAGTGGTTCAAGTTTGTCATTGATTTATTTTTTGATCTGGTTCAGTTCCATATATTTTGGTACACAGTCAGTTCGGAGCCAATCTATGAAACTAATGATCCTGGTCTGGAACTTTTTCAATTCTTCCTGGCATTCCCAAATCAGTCTCGATGTCACTCTTGGGTTCATCAATGTCCTGTGTGCATCCTGTCTGTCTGTACAAATATGATCCACTCACATAATGAATACGCTGACCTGCTACTTGAAATCTGAGAATATTCTTTGTAAACACAGCTCCGGACTTTAATTTCTAATATTAAAGAGTAGCCAGCGGAAATTATAGAATCACTATTTTCAGATGTTGATTTAAAGAAATGAAGGTAATATAACTCACAACTCTATTACAAAACGAATTGTTCATTTAATCTCGTAACACAAAGGCACGTCTCAACAAGTAACCGGGTCACTTCAGGAAAGATCTTTAACAAAATGTGTTACTCCAAAAAGCTGGTAAAACAGACCTTGATCAGAAGACGAGAGCTCCATAAAGAAGAGAAGCTATCCCTTTCTCATCTCGAATTGGGTCTAATCACAACATTAGAATTTGCTTCAAATTTGGAAATACCATAAGTAGCAATCTAACACAAACCAAGCCACCAAATCTGGAGAGAGACTGCACGAATTTCATTTAGAGAAAATTCTATACCGGTGAAAACAAGAAGCTGTTGAAAGTATTGGCGAGCACAAGAAAAACACCCTAAGAGTTGAAACCAGCAAATTGGGAACAGCAGAACATGTTTGGACTCACCAACATAACATAAGGTGATCCGAAAATGAGATCATCCACAGGAAGGAACACTGGTTTGAGTCAAAGTTTAAAGAAGTTACATACATGTTGAACAACGAAAGATTCAGTAAGGTAAGTGTAAAAGACTGCAACACACGGATACCTCTAATCAAACAGAAAAACTGACTGAGATGCACTGGACCAGAAAACTGAAAAGAGAAGGTAAAATGCTCTAAAAAAATATCTTTCTTATATATTCCAAACAAATATTCTTGTTGAAAATTCTCGTTATTTAGGTAATTAAATTGATTTAATTTGGATTGATATTTTGTACTTATATTGATGCAGTCTGCTGAGAATATTTTATGAAATAATCCTTACGAATATTACTCGACCTAAAAATTTTCTTAGATGAATGTCCATTTTTTTCAAACTCAAAATGTGTTACTTTTGAGCAATATCAATCAATAACATCAATAGATAAAACCACTTGTCTTAACTCGTGGTATTAACATGCTCACTGCGTTGATGGTATTGCAAAATAACAAAGTTTTTGTTTTGATAATGGAAATTTATCAAATAACATTTCAAAGTCTACTGGTATTAATTTCGATAATTCTTAGTTCAATTGGATTATAAATTAGTCATAACGGCCTAAGATGAAAAACAGAGGTTGCATTTTTTGATACAATCAATTGATTTTCACCCTTTCCCATCTTAGCACATGTGTACACATACATATCTATTGTATCATTCTGGAAATAAATACCTAGTATTATTATATTATTATTTCTCTTCCAATAGTCGCGCATGGTCTGTTAGATTGGGTTGACACTGTATGACTTTATGGAAACTTGAAAAAGTAGTATGCTCTTGTAATTAAGTAGTCTTTTCACAATTTGATAAAATAGGAAAATTGTCATGGAAAAGTTTATGAGGTTCAGAAAGGGCAAACTTTTTAGTTTACCAATAAGTTACTGCGTAAATTCAAAGTATTTTTCACAAAAAAAAGTTCTATTCATCAGTAGCTTGTCATATAAAGTTCTCCATTATAATTATCATATTTTTTCATACTGTTGAAAGTGAAAAAACCCTAAGAAGGTTGATAAAGACTCTGATTTTCTCCATAAAAATTACTTTCATCCAATATAAAAATCTTATGTCGCGACATCTAGTTGTAAATTTTATGTGAATGAACATTTTTAACAAAATTCAAAATTTTGATTTTTGTGCTTTTGATCAACAGTTATATAAACTAAGTCTAGAAGGGCAAATTGAGACTGAACCGTAAAAACCATTGAATTGTTTCCCACATTTTTGTTTAATGATGAAGATGTAGAAAGCCAAAAAGCTATTTCTTAATAAATGAAAAAATTATTAAATCCAGATCTGACAGAGCTGCACGACTATCAGTGTCAAACAATTTGGCTCACTACTGCATTGACAAAAAAAATTACCTAGTGCTTGAAGGGAACTCATATACCAGGCATAGCTGAAAATAACAAACCAAACCATTCCAGCAATCATGAAATAATATACCATCACAAAGACTACAGGGCATGACAAGTTTTCATTAGCACTTGGCTCAGATTTTCTCAAAGTTCCTTCCTTTTTGCAGACTATGTCGTCTCTAGTTTCACTTCCAAGAAACTGGATGAGCCAACCTCCATAAGATACGAAAAAACATATATTAACATAAAATATGGCAGATGCTGGATACTTGTTTGAGGTTTTCCAATCAATGATAAAAGTCATGATGGTAACGAGATTTAAAAATAAGCATATTGAAGCACATACTGCTATGAACTTGCTGATTTGGTAATGCTCATATTCCAAATACAGTGAGTCTTTACATTTCAAACCACAGCCTTCTACATCTGGGTACCACCATTCTGGTTTATCGGTTTTCACCAAAGGATCCATACAGAAGCCAGTAGTGTTGAACTTTACCTCATGAATATCATTTTTGCACTTATTTGGAAAAAGACGGTCATCCTCACAGTTTAAAAACTCAGGAAATAGTGAACTATTGTATAAAATCTTACACGGTTCAAGTGTGATTTTACACATTACTCTCGAAGGTAAATCTACTTCATTATTTTCACATTTAGGCATGTACAAAGCACATAAGAAAGGCTGTATTACAGCCCAGCACTTGGGAATGTAGCGTAAGTACTTATAAAGCTGTAATTTTTCTTGAACTTGTTCTTGAGTTTTCAAATCCGTTAACTCCAAAGTTGTACTGTGATATGGCAGTTTGGCTCCCATGCAGGTAGTGTAGTTCAAATCTTGGCATTTTGCTGGTCTTCGACAATATTGTAAATTCAGATCGAATAATTGATCAAAATTCCTTGAACTGATGTCCTTTGATTTCTTTTGTTCCCTGTGCCTCAAATAGGGGGTTTCCTCCTTTCTAAATAAATTATTTTCAGACTGCATTCTTTCAGAATATCTTTTATCTATAAGTCCACATATAACAATCTTCAAGAAAATTATTATAATGAATTTAGTCTTCATTTTTCTAAAACAAGTTCATAGAAATTTATTGTTATAGATGACAGATAAAGAAAACAATTCACAGTCAATAAACAGAACAAAACAAAACAACGTGCTACTTGCAAAGGTTAAATGCACATATTTATGACTGACGTAGATCTGTGTTGCCAGATGATAATAATATTTTCTGAATTCTCAAAACTCAGATTTTTTCAAAGTGAATATGTTCAGATATCCTTATCTACTCAAGTCAAACTTTCTTATCGATCTAATGCTTTTAGATTTTTGTATATGAAGACAACGAAATTACATTTCAGATCATTAATCTGACTGACGGACGTTAGTTCAACAAATACCTACAGTTACGGTTCTTCCCCATCACAGCCGAGTATCCATGCAAAGACACCTCTTATTGAAAATTGATAAATTTCTCATTAAACGAGCTCCATTTGATATTCATTTTTATAGCAAAAAAAGAGAAATTCGTTTGCATAGACATCCAGGTGATGTGATACAGCTAATAACTGTTATTGTATTTATAAAAAAACACACCGCGTAACACGGCACCAAATTCAAGAGTATCATCGATTATCATCACTTTGTATTGTCGTTACCTACATTTCTTTTTTTTTCAAATATTTAAAATATCTTAAAAAGAATGGATGTTACAATGAAATATATCTAAGAAAATGTATTACATTTGGCAACGCTGATGAGTCGGATAGACCACCTACAAAGAAAAACAAACATCCATACAGGGAGGAAAAGATAGTAATTCAGAAGGCGTATTCGGGTTCGCAGTTCGACCGATTCCAGGACGATTGAAAGTAGTTACCCAGCTGATTATTGGGAGTAGATTGGCGCAAAACTTTTCAAGTCTCAACAGTGTGACAACATTTGACAGTTCGAAAACCGTTCAAATAGCGAACCGGAATAATGTTAAATATAGCGAATGAAAAAAAAACAACTTATTTCTGTGTGTGGCCCCGACAGTGGCGTAAATAGCATTCTTCATTCATGGGGAAGCGCTTGTTTTCAAGGAAAATACATCATTGATAATAACCCAGAAATTGTATTTCAAATTGTCTCGTTATTTGATAACGATATACAGTGTGTGGCTTCGAAAACGAAACAGATCGTATATCTTCGAGACAAATTTGTTGAGACGAAAGGAAGGGTCATTGAAACATGTATTTCTGGCCACATGTATTTCTGGGCTATGTCTGATGGGTGGAAGGAATACATCACCTGAGTATCATCCGCATACATTTGTAGATAACAATGCAAGACAACATTTTTGAAAAATGCTGTGAAAATTACATAGAGAATTGGTCCCAAAAATGGATCCCTGTGGAACCCTCATGTCAGTTCTCTTGTTTGAGAAACCCTAGTATTGAGTACAACTCGTTGCTTTCGACCACTTAGATAGCTATCAAAAAACAAAACAGATTTTTCTGAGAGTCCAATATATCTTAGAATATGTTTTTAGCGCAGAATGATTTAGGGTATCGAAAGCTTTCGAATAGTCTAAGAGAACTAGAACAGTAATCATTCCCGAGTCAGTTGCCTGGAAGATATGATCTGTCACATTCAGAAGGGCTGTCGCGCAGCTATGCTCTTTTCTGAAACCAGATTGAGTATCCGGCAAAATATTATATGTTTTCAAGAATTCCACAAGTTGATCTTTTATACTTCTTTCTAATAATTTTAAGACAACGGGTAAAATGCTGAATGGTCTCAGGTCTTTGAGCTCACTGACCACCTCACATTTCGGTAATGGGATCACATTAGCCAATTTCCACTGAGTTGAATGTACTGAATATTCAATGCAGGAGTTCAAGAGGTGAGAGATATATTCAATTATGAATGGACAACATAATATGATGAATTTTATGTTGAGACCGTCAGCACCTGCAGCACCGTTGTTTTTACTGCCAGTAAATACTTGAAAATGTCGTTATTCTCGATTCTGCTAAAACTCCAACTTACATCGGGCCCAACAAGTCGACCACTGTAGTACTGTTCAAAGTCCGAGCCTTTACCGGCAATGGGAATTGAGTTTAGGAAAAATTCACATCTGAAAGATGATCTGGAATATCGTTCTTCTTTTTCTTATAATATGAGTTTTTTTAAGGTGTCCCATGCATTATTAGTATGCCTGCTTATGTGAATATTCAAATAGGATTTTTTCTTCCTCTCTACTGATTTATTAGTGAAATTTCTAAGGTGTATTCTTCAAAATCGCGAATGTTCTTGGTTCGTTTGAATTTTTTAAGTTTTTTATCGCGTTCTCTCATCATAATTTTAATATTGCCGGTAATACACGGTTTATGTTTTTTCCTAATGAAATCTGTTTTGAAAGGCGCATATAATTCCAGTAAGGTGTTCATGTTCTCGTTGAAAAAAGTTACTTTTTTGTCAATGGTATCCAAGCCATAAATATGGTGCCACGGAATTGACTGTAAATCAGTATATAATTGATCTTCATCAATATTTTTAAAGTCTCTGTACTTAATAATTTTGTTGCTTTCACTTTCACCAATCAGGTTGAGGGAAAAATAAACCAAATCATGGTCAGATATGTGTGGAACATGAAGAGAACTACAATTTGTAACTTGGCATTGATCTGAAACAATTATCAGGTCTAAAATAGAAGAGGTGTTCTGAGATATTCTTGTAGGAAAGTTAACTATCTGCTTCAACCCAGTACTCATAAATAATTCATTCAACTTCCGAACAGAAAAACTATTGAAATTTGACAAATCCACATTGAAATCGCCCATACAGATGATTTCATCAAATTGAGGTACAACTGATATCAAACTGTTTTCAAATTCAAATTTGTCAGGTTCAATTTAGGCGGCTTATAAATACAACCTACCGCAAAACTCATGTTTTGCAACCTCACACTCACCCACAAATCCTCAATATTATCATTGTTGGGAAGGTTAAAAAATTTGAGTGTTTTTCAAATAAATAGCCAACCCTCCTCCTTTGGTCCCTCCGCTCCTATCCCTTCGCACGACATTGTAACCAGGTAAACAAATATCTATAGTACGACAATTATTGTTCAGCCAAGTTTCACTCAGAGTGATGATATCAAAATCATTTGACAAAATTAAATTTACGAAATCATTATGAGCGACCAATGATATTATATTCAGATGGCATAAATTTATTTTCATATTTCTGACCTACTTACATGCCAAAAAGACCTATGAGAGGAAAAAAGCATATATATATATATACATCGATATCTAATATACCAAAAATGAACTCAAAAGGAAACCTTGCAATCAATTATAATTATAGCAACAATAAGTACAGTACAATCAATAAATTCAAATAATAACAAACACGAATATTTTTTATTTCTTCGACCTCCCAGACGATCTCTTCTCTAATTTATTGTCCTTAGGGGTAAGAGCCGATATTTCAGCAGGAGGATTTAGTGAAGTTGCTTCCTTCAATGGGTTCGCTCTAAGTGAGTCGATGGAATACGAGTTATGGTTAAAGTATATATGATTTTTTTGAACCTTGCTCGGGGATCTTGAATCCGTGCTAATTTAAGTTGGTTGCTTAGAAATTTTCTGTCTCTATAATCATCCGCAATATAGTCGTTGGCAAAATATAATCCTGAATTCTTCTAGATATTTGAACTCTGGAAAATATTACTTTTCAATCTATAATTCACCAGTTCCACAACGATAGGTCGAGGATGTTTATCATCATTTATCGCGAACATACTGTTCCCCACAAGAAATTTTTAACGTGTCATTGAATAAATTCAAAACATCAATGTACGTATTAGATTTTTCACCACACAAGCCGTATATTATCAAGTTATATTTTTTGTCTTCTTTCAATATTTTTCAACTGCTGACGAAGCTTTTCATTTTCTTCAATCAGTTCTTCGTTCTGGAACCGATATAAATTCATTTTTCAACTCCGAGTGCAGTTGATCATTACGTTGAGAAGATTTTTCCAATAAGGAGTACAGATCATTGAGAGTTACTGGACTATCATTTGAGGAGCACACATTCAAAATGCATTTTGTCCAAATTGCATAATTTTCAGGAAACGGCAAAGTTCACTATGAGGAAACTGATAAGTTTTCGTGAGATTCAAGGAACCAAAAAATTTGCAAAAAATATGACCTCCAATATTAACTTGATGCCAAAAATCGCCTTTTGTTATTCAACCCAAAAATTTTAATAACGAAATAATGAGCCTAAATGCTCTTTGATTGTCCATATCGGACAAAACGCATTTTGTTTGGGAACTCAAGGGACTTAATGCTGTTTGATAGTAAAACAAGCAATTTCAAAAACTTATTCTTTTTTCAGGCAGGTAATTAAAAAAAAATAACAATTTCATTAACAGTACTTCTTCAGAAGGAATGAACTCAAAACCTTAAACCTATAATTTCATCTCAGCATCATCTTCTTGACATTGACATAGTTCTCGCTGCTCAGAATCACCATCATCTTCATCATCCACATCTTCGTCTCCAGGAATATCTTCAACATTTTTGGGTAAAATTGGAGCAAGCCATGACAATTCTGGATCATTCCTCTAATTCTCACCAGCCAATTCTATCAATAATTTATTTAGGCTCTTTATTTTCTTCCTTTTTATTTCCCTACTAAGCGGTATTGGTGACAGCACGATACTTTCAAATTTCTTTCCTTTCTTCAACAGAGTTTCGTATTTTTTCGAACAATCATCATTTCTATAAAACTGCTCAGTTTTTATTCCTACACCTACATTTCTCAGTCTTTTGATGAAGATTCTCTTTGCCTCGCTGATTCCTGAAACTTTTTTCAAACATGTCAATGCTTTTTTGAAATCATAAATAGCTGCCCATTCTACTCCTAATTTACGTACTTCTCCGATTTTAGAATAAAGCTCCCAGTATTTATCTGGAGATTTTATCATACTTTGTGCTCTTATCAATTTTTCGGCTCTGCCAAATACGCGATCAGAAGGTAGGTACGAATGCCCCCGAACTGGAAAACACATTCTAATGGACTGTAACGTTAGATGAGGAGCATGTTTTTGAAGCCAAATCATACACATGTGAACAATATGACTATTTTTATTTTGGCCACCGCATCCATCTGAGTATAGTCACAGTTCCTTTACGTGGTCCGGAAATGCCATTTTTGAAAAGAAATCAAACAACGCAGATCCTACTTCGATGGATCCATGACCGGCTTGAGTCTCTAGCCAGGAATAGAAAATGGGTGCTCTGCTCGAAATGTCAGTGATGCAGAAAGAATATAAAGATACTTGTTGTGCATAAAAAGCATCTCCTATTGGCACTTTAGGTAGTACCTGCACTTGCTGTAGGTCAAAGCAAAAAGAAAGACTATCTTCTGATTCTTCTTTCATCATCTTGTAAAATTGCTTGCTCCTCAATCTATGAACCCTCAGATCGGTCATTATGTTCGTCTTTTCTTGTGGCTCGTTACACAAACTTAACTGTTTTCGATGACGCATGCAAAAGCCACAAACATCGGAGGCTGGAGAACCAAAACCTATGTTGAATTTGTCATTGAATATGCGACTAAAAAATTTGTAATTGACTTGGTAGTTTGGTTCTACAGAATTGTTGTACGATTTCCTGAGACTAGCAATGTTATACTCGGAAGGTAAGTAAATTCTTCGGGATTTACCGCGTCCTAACAAAGGCGTTTTGAAAGTCTATGCGTAGTGGACAAAATGCACTTCAAATGTCCAATCAATCTTCACTGGGGATTTCATATGGGACTGAACGCCTTTTGAATGTTCATGGTTGTGTTAAAACATGCGCCTTAGTTTGAAGAATAGATCGCCATCTCCATTTCAAAAGCTGAAGTATTGGACAAAACGCATTTTGAATGTCTGCTCCTCATTTTTTACCATGTCTGTACGTAAAAAATTAACATTGATTTATTTTACTGAACACTCCTTCCACAGCAGCAACTGATCAACTGAACAGAAGTGAGAAAGAAATGTGGATTTGAATTTCTAGGTTGCAGGATAGTTTAATTGCGTGCGCCGATAGGTATTTACCGGTGCGATATATTATATATTTACGAAGAACAGTATTTTGGGGTTGCAGTCAGGTTTTGAAGGTTATTCAAAGAAAACTCTTTGTTTTTGTGATACTAGACACCATCCTATCATACCTTTATCAAATATAATTCCAAATTTATTAAGTTATCAAAATAATACAATCATTTTCAGGTCATTAGCAAACATTCAAAATTTCACTTCCAAATTAGTAAATGTTTTCAAAAACAATAACATTATAATAGGCAAAAACAATATTTTAACCATTTTTAAATTATACAGCAGAGTAAAAACTCCAGCTGAAAATGAAGAAAAATCTAATATAGTTTACAAAATTCCTTGCATGGAGTGTAACAAATCATATATTGGACAAACACCAAGAACTCTAAAAAGTCGCATCGTTTCTCATAATACTGATTGCAGGAGGAACATGAATATATGTGCATTATCAGAACATGTTAATGATAATGACAATAAAATGGAATACAACAATTCCACTGTCCTTTGTACTGAATCAAACCAATTGAAAAGAGTTTTTCTGGAAATGGTAGACATCAATAATGATGATAGATCTATGAATAATAGAACTGATTTTAACAATCTTAGTCAAATATATACTTACATTCTCAAATGTAAAAAAATCACTTCCAATCAAAATTTTTCTCCTTAAAATTATTGTCACTGTCATTCACTTCCATCAAAAAAAGAAATGTTTCATGTTTTGTAGAGATACTTGTTTTCTTTCTCAATCTCACGTCAGTAAGTAGTTCCGTTTGTGATATAAAACATATTGTTAATGAATATATTACAGTTGTCCTGAGGAAGGTGGTAAGCACCATCGAAAGCTTGACAAAAACAAAGAGTTTTCTTAATTACAATTAATGAAAACTTCTACTCTCTTACTGGAACCACAAATATGCGGTAGGCTCCTGTTGTTAAATCTGTTCATATGTGTTGTTTCCATCTTTGCATTTGGCTGCATATAGCGCTGATGAGATATATAAAAGAAGCTAACCGTGGATATGTGTTTATGGCTCTTGACCTCATCAGCGCTGTACAGCCAAATGCAAAGATGGACAAAAATAATTGGTTACAGAACACAGGAAACAACACATATGAACGGAATTAACAGTAGGAGCCTGCCGCATATTTGTGGTTCCAGTTAGAAGACCTGGCATGTCCAGAAAACAACTAACATGATCACGTAGGCAGCTACAGCTACCTGTTTGACTATCACTGTTCTATGATTAATTCATGTTTCACTGCCTGAACCACTGTACATGCTGTTTTCGGCGAGTGCATTGGCTTTTGGGATGTGGGGGTTGAGCAAACCGGCAATCGGATGCCTGCTTCCACGTAGCCCCGTTGGATACGGGAATGACAGAATCACTTTGTGGTTCTGTTATTCCCTAACTGAATGACATCCCAACGATGGCTTAATCCTAAGGTGTGTGTATGCGTGCCTAGAGGATGAATGACACTGAGCTTATCAGCTGTCTCCACGGAACCTTCGAGATACCAGGCGCCCTCTCGTCGTAGCATCGCCTTGTCACGGTAATGCGGGGCTCTGCCGTGATTGACCTTCTTTCCCTAGCTACTCGTGGGACCTTTATGGACAGAGTGAACTTAAAAAATTCTTTCTGACGCTAAGTCTATAGAGGAGATGGATGTTAAGCTTACGACTCCAACTGACCTCCCTGTAAACTTAGATCAGAAGCGAGTCTACAGAGGAGATGGATATCGAGTTTACGACTCCAACGGACCTCTCTGTAAATCTAGTTCAGGAGCGAGTCTACAGAGGAGATGGATGTCGAGTTTACGACTCCAACTGACCTTAGGAGCGAGTCTACAGAGGAGATGGGTGTCGAGATTACGACTCCAACTGACCTCTCTGTAAATTTAGTTCAGGAGCGAGTCTACAGAGGAGATGGCTGTCGAGTTAACGACTCCAATTGACCTCCTTGTAAATTTAGTTCATGAGCGAGAGCTGCGGCGAAAGCAGAATCTGTCTCAGGTGGGGGAACTAACTCCCCATGAGCAGGTTAGCAAACGTTTGCGCTCAAGTGAGGTTTCACCAAAACCAGAGGCGAAAAAATCCTGCACGGCTGAATCTTAGGCATCGTCAGGTGTAGCTGACGTGCCGAAACCCTCATATGGGAAGGTTGTCGTGGGTATCAAGGTGGGAATCTTGCAACTTGACTATCCGACTACCTCATTAACAGAGCATATACTTTTTGCCTGTCCCGCTGAGGACCAAATCAGGTCTTTAGAGTTCGGCAGAGCCTGAAAGACCACTCACCATATAATCTATGGGCTTCGTTAAGAAGATGGGTTTGTTTGGCCGAGTGAGAATAGGTGTGAGCCACAATAAACCCTTGCGGGTTGCGGTGGAGGGTCGAATAGACCCACTCACTTTGGATCTAACCTATAATTAAACAACTACACATTCTTTACAAAATTCTTGAATTTTGGTGAATTGGTGATTTTTGTCCGAGGATACGATTACAATTTGTACGTCGTATCCAGCCCTTGACGTCACTGGCTCTATGGAAGTTAAGTAAAAACTACCTTTAAGTAGTATGATATCACATTCAAAGAGTACACCAATGGTGTACTCTGTGATCACAATCAAAGCTAACTATATGACATATGCCATGTCTTATGTCACAATCACGATTCACCACGTTCGCAAATGTCACATTTAAAGCTTCATTTCATAAATGCCTGTCTTTTAAATGACCTAGAAGAGAGAGATTGAGTTGGTGAGTCGCCCTCTAATCTGGTACTTGGAACCGAAACGTAAAATTTAGATTTTTTTCAAGTACTTTTATATTTGAGAAATGTTGAGAACTTTCATTCTACGAAGCCATGTTTCAAAAGAAATATTGAGAAAAACAGTTAGATCAAAAGCCATCAAAACTGTTTCAACAGAATGTATGAAAAAACAGCATTTTCACAGGTAACCATTCATTTTTCGAAAATTAATTCATATCAACCATTAGTTATATAATAGTATGGATTTGGCGGTACCCATAACCCCAAACTTTTCACAGATGTATCTTTTGAAAACATTTTTTTTTGTTCAGGTCTGCCAGGGAGAGGAGCCAATTTTCAATATTTCAAAAATTGGCTACCACAGAAGAGAACTTAGTAAGGCATTACTCCAGCGATATGCCAGCTCACACCAGAGTTACCTTACCAGCTCTTTCTCCTACAATGGAATCTGGTACAATTGTCAGCTGGGAGAAGAAAGAAGGTGAAAAGTTAACAGAGGGCGATCTTCTAGCTGAAATTGAGACTGATAAAGCTACAATGGGCTTTGAAACTCCTGAAGAAGGATATTTAGCAAAAATTCTTATTCCAGCAGGCAGTAAAGATGTCCCAATAGGTTGGTTTGTTTCCTAATAGCCTTTTGATTTTGAAAATCCTAATGTTCATTTGCTTTTGAAAACTGTTCTGTGATATTTTGCTAATAATAATTAAGAATATGAATCCATCTCAATGAATATTCATTTTACCAGGTCACACTAGTTCTTGAGAAATATTTAATTAGATCTCGAATCAGACTTACATATTTTAGTCTGATAGTCATGAATCTTTAGTCAAAACTTGGTGCTCCGGTCTACTTTAGGATAATCGGCCACTCAAAAGTAAAAAATGCCTATTTCAGGAACTTATTTTTGCAATAAGAACCAGTAAAATTATACTTTTTTCATTCAGATGTCACTTCCATTTTTTGCATAAAAAATATTTATTTTAATTTCTTCAAAATTACAAATCACCAAACTAAATTATATTTCTACAAAGGACTTCTTCATTGGTTCTATTGACAGTGTTGGAAAATCGGACTGGAAAAAAATAACTTTTTTCATTTATTTGTGAAAATAAATTGAGGGCAAAGCTCAGTAAAATTTTTGAAATTTGTCAACATAAATCCTTTTTCTTGATTTTGACTTTTTTCATATAGGTAATCAATAATAAAAACATCCAGAACATAATTCTAAGATTGGAGTTATATTGGTGGAATAGGAGAATGGAGGTTACAGCATGCAACACCTTGAAAATGTGTCATTTCATGATTTTTTTATTAAAAAAGTTAGTTCCTGACAACTCAACTTTTGAGTGATCATATCTCAAAAAGAAGGCCGGAGGGCCAAACGATGACTATCGATTCATAATCAGCTGGCAAAATTACCTAAGTCTAATTACATTTTTTCAAAAAATAGGCATTACTTTTCATCTTCTCCCATGAACTACCTCAAAAGAACTTATTTTATATCATCATGAATATATTATCATATGTCATTATTTTCTAGGGAAATTAGTCTGCATTATAGTGGAAAATGAATCAGATGTTGCTGCTTTCAAAGATTTCAAAGATGATAGCACAGCCGCCCCTCCTAAAGCAGCTGCACCTCCTTCAGCAGCTCCAACTCCCTCTCCACCTTCACCTCCTCCTCCGGCACCTGCCGTTGCTTCACCTCCTCAAGCTTCGACTGGAGATAGAGTATATGCCAGTCCAATGGCAAAACGATTGGCAGAACAAAGAAATATCAGGCTTCAAGGTAAATTTTAACTATATTTAGAAATATGTGTTTGTAGTGACGTATTCACGGTTTGTTCTTGGTGGGTGGGGAGCAAGTACGGAGAATACCAATAAAACTGGTTTAACACACTAGGTCGCTGTTATACTTCTGAAATCAAAGCCTATATTACAATGAAAGTTATTTTGATGATTTTTCAATTACTCAAAAGTTATCTTTCTTGGGGAATAATTGTCTCCTTTACTCCCTCTTTATAAGTTCCTATGTGCATGCAGGTAGATATATAAAAACAACTGTACATTCAAAATAACCAATGATTTTTTATGTAAGGTGACCTAAGGTAAGGTGATCAACTCGATATTTTAAATATTATGCCTGCTTCTTGGTAAATTTTTTGAAATTGTCCAAATAATTTCATTTAAATTGAGTTCTGAATCTATTAAATAGACAAATATGCAATTTTTCAGAGATAACAAAGTATCGCAGGTAAACTGAATTGTTACAGGTTTGTAATATTAATTATATGAAAACTTTGTTGATCTTTAACACAGGGGCGGTTTTAGCCTGTGTGGCGTCCGTGAGCAATCAATACCCTAGCGTCTTATTGTATAAAAATGTGTGGTCGAAACTTGCTGGAATGAGTTGAAGTAAGCTTAATAACGTTGTTTTGCTACGAAACCAGGTACAGAGTAAACTTGATCGGGTTGTGAAGTTACAGTGAATATGGCGACAGAGCAACCTACCCAAACCTGTCAAAAATTGTTCATTTAAAATAAACTTTTTTGTTTCTTGCCGGAAAGTTTCAAAAATTAGTTGAGGAAATTTGACATGTTTTGATAGATTGGCCTGTCGCCGTCTGTACACGAATAAAAAGTATTTTTTAGGAAAGACGGGGTTACAAGAAGACAACTTTCTAGTTGTTTCAAAAATATTTTGTTTTTATATGAATCAAAACAGGTACCCGCATGCGCTTTTGGGACTGGAGCGACCCTACGACAATGTGAACTTCAATTAACCATTTCAAGGCAGTTTTCATGTTGAAACAAATGTTATTGTGTAGGAACTGTAGGAACCAACAGTAAAAAAGCACAGCGCAAGCTTTATGGGCTCTATGGGTATACACTGTAAGCAATCGGCTGCATGTGACGAGCACCCGCGCGCTTTGATGTGTAGTCTTCTCAAAACCACGCTACTCACCCACTCCATTTTTATATGAGCAGGCGCCCACTACGTGCAGAACGTTACTCGCGAGCGGCTCTAATCGCCCTAAAACACTCGGAGATCGCGTGCATTGCACCCCTCGCATTACAAGTAAAATCGCCCCTGCCTTAACAGAAAAAAAAATGAGAAACTCTGGCTCAATCACGATATCTTCAGAGAAATTGAGGAAATCATTTTACATCCATATCTTCTGGGAAATTCATTAATCAATTCAAAAATAAGTATTGGAAAAAGTACAATATTACAAATTACTACAGAGATCATAAGGAGAGAGGAAAACTCCACTTCAAGTACCATCATTTTCTGATTGATTCAGCCGTTACTTGATGAAGATCCATAGTAATTTCAAAAACTACACCTCACGATTTGATCTCCACAAACTTTATTTAAAAAAATATATAATCACAACATGTTTCGCTAGCACAGTAACTTTTTCAAGTGTATGAATTCATACACACGCTATTGTGCTTTTTCAAGTGTATGAATTCATACACACGCTACTGTGCTAGCGAAACATGTTGTGATTAAATATTTTTTAAAATAAAGTTTGTGGAGATCAAATCGTGAGGTGTAGTTTTTGAAAGTACCATAATCATGGCCTACATTGTTTGTCAGTTACCTGTCTCTTGAACAAAACTCTGAATACATTCGAAGATATTCTTGTTATAAAGAGTTAATATCCAAAGGAAGTCAAGATGGTATCTGAAAAAAAAACAAATAAATTATGAGGAAACGATCACAGTACTGATAAAATATCAGTTGTAATACTATAAACGAAAAAAACTGGAGGTTAAGAAATTATTTGGAGCAATAGAGAAAAATTGTTCAATGTAATCCCATTCAAGTGTATGAAAAAAAAATTGCTGTTCGTTTTTGAAACCAATAAGTATGATAGAAATTGAGGGTGTTACTGATAATTTAGATTCAAAAAAGCGGAAGGCGTAGATTAAATTTCTGAAAAAATTGTGAAGATAGTCAAATCTCAGTTAGTCCCTATTTTGCACTATTTATTTTGAAAATCTTTTGAAAGTGGTATTTTTTTCTATAAAAAAAAAGGAAACAGCAAAAGTATCACCGAAATTTAAAAATCGCAAAGAAAGTTATATGAACAATTATAGGCCAATTTCTGTTTCACTGTATTCTCAAAAATCATGAATTTTGTATTGATCAAATGTCTTGAGAAAAAAATTATATTCACTGGTCAGTATGGACTTCGAAAAGCTAGGATTACAGAATTGGCTGCCTTGGAAATCATACAGATAATCAACATGAAATAGATAATAACTAAAAATGTATATATCAATTATATAATTATAGTAAAAAAAAGTCAACTTTGGTATTAGGAGAAAAGTTTTGGAATGGTTTCTCCCTGAATACCAATAACTTTTGAAATGTTGGTAATAAGGTATTATATTAGTACTACTTCAGTAGTGAATTATTTATTCATGAAAATGATGGTAACATATTATTAATAAATTTGAATCAAGCATAAATGATACTCTAGCATAGCGATTACATTTCAAGATCACTCTCATGCCTCGATTTTGTAACTTTTGCAATGTTTGGTTTTGGTTTTGATTTAAATCATATAACAATGAACTGCAAAAATCAAAATAAGGTTGAATGATAGTATTGTAGACTTTTATCTCAGAAGTAGTTGATAAGTGGATAGAAATTTTTTATTCAAATATTTGAAAAGCTTATTGTAAGAGAAACGTTTGTTCATGAAATACAAATACTTGAATCTCAAATTTTTCATCAATAATTTTCAATAAGCAGGAGTTTATATTTAATTGTTTTTATTTGTATGCTGTTGTTAAGAGCATAGCTTTTGTTTTGGATAGGTTCTCTCTTTCCCTCTATATATATATATATATATATACACACACATAACTGAAATAATTATATATTATAAATATATATTTGGATATAAATTATATTTCATTGAAAATGTTTGATACATTTCTATTTCTCAAAATAATCAAAAGGCTGGTAATCTTTTGAAAATAAATCTATTTTTTTCCAAATATACTGTGTTTTGGAATTAACAATAACTTAATATCTAAATGTCATCTCGTGAATTTCGAAATATCTCAACATACATTATATTATAACTCTACAAAGCTCATATGAGTGTTGCCCAAAGAAGAACACATCCAGCATATATAGAAATGTACGCTTTCACTGCTAGCGTCAATGTTTTGATTGATTTCCGGTTTTTACCGTGGTCTTTGGTAGTTGAAACGTTTGGAGATTGTAACCAAAGAAGACCACGACAAAACCCGGAAACCAACCAAAACACATCCAGTATATATTGAATCTCATTTCATAAATTTCAAAGAAAAATGAATGTAAATCCATTAAAACAGAAATAATATAGTGACTTCTCAGTTGCTAAGCCTTTCAATAAATTTTTAATATCTTGTATTTCTTTTATTCACGATTTTCTTAGATTTTCATCCTTCCTTTAGAGTTCCTTCATAATTAGTCCCGATTTTTTTGAGGTTTCGTTTTTTTAAGACAACACAAGCACCACTGTAAAATCCTTGAGGCACTCTTAGAGCCGTGCCTGTGCGAAAGTACTTATTATTTTTCATTCCCTAATGAAACAGTGTCATAAATTACCAATTGGTGTCTAGACATGTCGTGAGAGCTTAGACTGCTGGTCTGGATGCAGGTGCGGGTCCCAGCACAACAATCTCCTTGATGGAGGGCCAGACACAGCGCTGTCTGATGAGCTTGATGATCGCTCTGGCACCAGGATGCGACAGTCCGTTGATGGCATCGAAGGCTGGCCTGCGAAAGGCGGCTGTCAGGAAGGGCCGCGCCGTTGAAGTGGAGACGTCGCAGAAGATGGCAGTGTTGGATCCAGGGATGGTCACTTGGCACAGGATTAGGCCAGAGTCATCACTTTGACGGAGTTCCTGGAGCTGCTGTTCCTGTTTGTGGGACGCTGCGAGGGCCTTGAAATCGAGTGGGGCAGCAATGTAATCGACTGGGAGAGAGCATCTGCAACCGCATTATCCTTACCAGTGATGTGCTGGATATTGGTAGTGAATTACCCGATTAAATCCAGGTGATGAAACTGGCGCGGATAACACTGCTCAGACTTCTGGAGAAAGGCGAAATCAGCGGCTTGTGGTCGGTCAGGACGGTGAAGTGGCGCCCTCCAATCATGTGCAGGAAGTACTTGACGGCTTTGTAGATGACCAGACTCGAACTCCTTTTTGGCAGCGTTTAGACGGTCCAGGGGAGGCGTCGCGGTTTGGCATATATGGGCTGACCTGGCGTCGTGTGGATGTGGTGTACCATCTGATGCTTCACGTTCTCCGTGTTGCACGCCCGATCCCGCAACACTCACACTCGTCGTGTGATCAAGCAAGCGTCCGTTGCGGAAGTCGACGAGGAGGTCGAAATATGACAAGAAATACACACCGATAATCATAATCAAACACATCCGTGATCACGAAGTTCCACGTGAAATCGGGGCGGAGACTCAGGTCAAGAGTCATCAGGATCAGGCCGTACGTGGCGATCGTAGTGCCGTTAGCCGCCGACAGCTCGAACCCGGTTTTCACCCGATGACCACGAAGAATTCTATGCGAAAACACAAACAAATCGACACCTGTGTCTATTAAAAAATCCACGGCACTGTCCCGGTCTGTTAAAAATAAGCGGCGTGCGGTGGGGCAGCTGTCACTTGCCTCCATCAGCGACTGCCCGGCGCGTTTCCCGCGTCGACGTCACCAATGTTGGGACTAGTGATAGGTGAATTAATATTTAGACTGACACAGTGTTTATCAATAATAAAATTCTTTGATAGCAAAAACAACGACAAACAAAACACGAAACAGAAAATTACAGCTTAACCTCGAGGAACTAACGCTAAGTCTTTTTTTGATCAACGAGAAGACTTTAGAGCTGGTTTAGTTCTCGGCGGAAACCTCAGATTAATAATATTTACGTCAGTTGAAATATTTTCGAAGTAACCCTCGAAAATCACCACTGGCATTGGTCAGGGTCATAAATATAATGAACAAGGGTCAACCACTTGGGCCCGAATTCCATTCGAGTTCCGGAGAGCGACCTTTGTCTTAATTGATAAGAGTGTATTTAAAAGATCCCAAGTTGATAGTCGTTCTAAATATCCATTCGTTTTTCGGCAATAAACATTGTTTCGAGAGAATTGCAAAGCTACGCGATGAAAAAATACGAAAATAATAAGTAAAAATAAAAGAATAACAATAAAAACCCAAGAAGACGGATATTTTGAATGACTGTTCAATAATAGAGTAATGAAAGGTTGATTTCCTAACAAAAATTTATAATCCTAAATAAAAATCACTAAAGAAATGAAATATTTCAAAACTAAGTTGTTGTAGGAATAACCGTACATCTTTTATTTATGGTTTACCTTTCAAATTTCCCAAACTAGTGAACTTGTGAACAAAAACTAGTGTTAACAAGGTTTCTCTAAGATAACTTTTCCTCTGCTTCTTGTTCGTGGAATAGTCTTCTTTATCACAACCTTTTCAAATAACATGATAATTAGATGATAGCTTAGATACAACAGTAGTTAACGTTCCTGCAGTGATGTTATATAGGTCAAAGAAATCCAAAACTGATTTTGTCTTAGGTAAAGGGACTGGCCTATTCGGATCCATAACTTCCTCTGATGTTCCAGCTGCTGCAGCCAAGGCAGCTCCAACAGGTCGTGCACCAACTCCTTCGCCAACCGCTTCAGCAGCACCCTACATGGATATTCCAGTAACAGGAATGAGGGGAGCTATTGCCAAAAGACTGTTGCAATCCAAACAAAATATTCCTCACTACTACTTATCGGTGGAAATAAATGTAGATAAATTGATGGCAATCAGAGCTAAGTATAACAAGAAATTGGAAAAGTCTGGTGTAAAATTGAGTGTCAATGATTTCATTATTAAAGCAGTAGCCCAGGCTAGTTTGAAGGTGAGTTAATAACTATTTCACATGTAAAATTGAAGAGTTATTTTTGGTGAATTTAATGGAAACAAAAGTTGTTAATGTTCATGGTAACATAAGAACTATTTCAGGTTCCTGAAGCAAATTCCAGTTGGATGGATTCTGTGATTCGTCAGTATAAAAGTGTAGATGTTAGTGTCGCAGTATCGACAGACAAAGGACTGATTACACCTATTGTCTTCGAAGCAGAAAGAAAAGGGGTTGTTGAAATCAACAAATTAGTTAAGGCGCTAGCTGCCAAGGCTCGTGAAGGTAAATTGCAACCCCAAGAATTCCAAGGAGGTACCATCAGTGTATCAAATTTGGGAATGTTTGGAGTCGATAATTTCTGTGCAATAATTAATCCTCCTCAGAGTTGTATTTTAGCCATAGGAACTACTACTAAGAGATTGGTTCCTGATTCGGAAACAGAAAAAGGGTAAGTATTTTTTAATCCAGTGCCCAATGTAATGAATTATGCAACATTTTTGTTTAAAGGGTTGGGGTTCCATAATATTATATTACCTGAAATTAAAATTTTTGTCTCAACAAAGAGAAAATGTGTACAAAGAATATTCATATATACATGTTTTTTCTGAATAAGTGCGACAAACTTCAGTGGGTGATTCTGCATAAAAAAGTAATGACAGTTTTCTATATCTATATAAATTTTGGTTGCCAATGGTTCGTTTTCTGAGATATGGGGTGTTAGAGTTTGTCTTCAAAATTTACTACCTATGTATTGCTCTGAAACCTGTCGAGATAAGCAAATGAAATTTGGTGGGTGTTGAGAGGTATTTATTGCGCATTTGCTGACATGTAATTAGGAATTTTACTTTTATCATTAGCGCGCATATGGGTAATGATCTCAATGTTTGTAAAAAAAATGGTAGTTTGATAGATAGATACATTTTATTCAACTACGATACGAGACATTACATTTGTGACAAGTCCAGGATTACTATCATTGAAATACTGTGAAAAATGTAATATGTGTATATACAGGCCATTTGAGTTCATTGAAATCCATAATCAATATAGTTTTTCAATACGGACATGTATATTCTTTTACACATTTTGGTAGTCATTGTAATTAAAAATTCATTGATATATTACAACATATGTATTACTTAACGTTTTTCCCGAAAACACATCATCAATATTCTATCATTTAAAAAAAGAATCTATAATTTTTTTATTAAAAGATCCAATGTTACTGAATTCTGTCGGTGATGTCGTTCATTGATATCCTAAATATTTGTCATGGTTTTCTTAAAAAGATAGACCAATAACATTTGTATCAATACCAAGCCATTCATAATTTCAAAATGTCTCTTGAAAATTTGTAGCTACCTAAATATTTCTGTTCAAAATACTGAATCCAAAAAGTCATAGATGATTATATTGAAAGGTATATATTTTTAGTAGTGATTGATTTTTGGGAAAGTTTCTGGCTTTCTACTACTCCATCTTGATACAAAAGAAATTAAGAAAAATCCCTTCTGCAACAGCTACTTTCATATAAACATTGAATTACATGAAAGACAAATTCTTTCGAAACAAATTCTTTTATATGAACACTGAATTATACAAAAAAGACTTTTCTCTATTCAGTTTGTTCCAAACATAGGTGATATTCAGTAGAAACATGATAAGTAATATTTTCTTTTATTGAAGTAAGCTATGAAATACATGAATATCACTGTCAAGTTAATTGTCAAACACAAAATAAATTAGTTATTCAATTTGGTGAGCAATTTTAACGAAAAAACATGAATTTTTCCAATGACGAAAAAGTGGATATGCTTTTTGTTAATCCAAGATGTTTGAGAAATGGTACCAAATGTATGGAATGTATCCTGTATCTGGAATTGTATCCTGAACGACGAAAGCCTGATCAAAAATATTTTCAACGTATCGAAAATAGTTAATGAAATTATGGATCCTTTGAAAAACCTTCCAAAAGAAAATGTAAGGTTACTGAATGTGGTGAACTACACAATACAATACACATTCCTAGAAACAGTGAACGTAGAGAAAATCCAACATAAAGGATATTACCTGATGTAACCCAAATACAGGCTAATTTACCTGGAGTACCTGCACTAAGGCATTCTAACCTTATGAAAGAAGAAACAAGATGATGAAACGTTCAGTTTGAGTAGAGCCAAGAAGATGATAGATAGCACAGCCAGCTATCGATAGCGCTCGCATATAATAAATAGAAGTTATAAAGCTTCAAATCCTTTTTGTTACATGTTAATATTAAAATATTGAAAATAATTTTTTTTTGCATTATTCAATATATATGTATAAAGTGGATAATCTTGGCAACTGGAGAAATGTACAGTAAAATGGATTAACGAGGTCTCTCAGTCAAATAATCAAAAATCAAAACTCTGCTCTACTTTGCCAAGCTTTTGCTTCTAATGGGAAGCTTCTTCAGGGCCTATAATTTAATGAGTTGTGGATTTTTTTGCCAAAATAACATAACAAATCATACTTACAGTAAAAATGAGTGAAAAACAATGAATTGAACATATAAATTGATGAAGAAAGTTGAACATTTGTAGGATTTTTTTGGATTTGACAAATGTCATACCTTCACATTAATGCCATTTTTCAATGGGTATGATGATTTCATAATCTTGATAAAGAAAACGTTATTGATTGATACAATTTTCATTATTATTATGATTTTGATGTAATGTAATGTAATATTAAATGATATTAAAAATGATTTACATGGAGTAGAAATATAAAATGTACAATTCATGAATTCTTCTGTGGAATAGAAATAGATTAGGTTACTTTTATTTTGAATAATTTTTTTTTAGATTTTTTACAGATCGTGAGTCGCACTACCAATGCGCCAATTCATCTCTGTGAGGAGTTGTATTCGATTGGAAATTGCTCACTTCTAGATATTGATATATATTTTTCCATTAGCTTTATTCCTATTGAATAAATGAATTCGTTAATTTTTTTCAGATTCAAATCATCGGAATTTCTCAAGGTAACATTGAGTTGTGATCATCGGACAGTGGACGGAGCTGTAGGTGCTCGATGGCTTCAAGTTTTCAAAGAAAATCTTGAAGATCCAGTCTCTATGATAATTTAAGAAAAAAACAATTTCTGAAAATGTGATTCTTGAATTTATTGAACATTATTCATGCTGCCAATGGTCAGCCTGACCAACACAAACTATGGAGTGCCTAGATCACATTAAATCTGAAATGAGGAGAGTCGGAGCAAATTTGTATCTAATGAAGACATAATGGAAATTGACGGGTTAATCACAAGTATTATATAAGGTTATTGTCTATTTCAGATATATTGTACAGATAAAAAAATTCAATTTCTTTCTGTTGAGTGTTTAATTTAATTACAAACTTTCATATTTATTAACGTTTCTCAACAATAAAATTCACTTATTCATAAAGTAACAACTCCATAAACCATATATAAGAACTTCTAATCAAAATATGCATCTATGTGACCTTGCAACTTCATTGTTTTCAGTCTTCACAAACAGGTGTCTTTTCTATTAAGATTATTTTGTTACAACTCTCCTTGGTGAAAAAGTTTATATCACAAAATGTTCAGTTATTAAACATATTGATTTTATTATTTATTGACATCGATTTTTTTCATATATAAGGTGATCTATAATTTTGTGACTTGTTTCCAGTTATACTCAGAGTTTGAATTGCATTTATGATACAAATTCAACTTCAAATTGATTTTAAAGTTTGGTCTCACCAATTTTGAAATATGTACGTACTCTTCAAAACCGTTATGCTTGAATTCTTTTATGTTGTGTAAATATGATATAGATATTTAATAAATTATATTGGGAATATTTGGTGAAATCATTTATAAAACCTTTAAAAAAACTAAAGAGAATCTCCTAACATTTAAACTCGATCTTGAATTGTAGTATCATAGTGAAAAAAAAATTAAACTGGCTAATTTCCCTAATTGATACCGAAATTAGATTATGTATCAAGAAATATGTTCGAAAATTGATAGACAGATGTCAATTAACGATTTTCAATTTGATTAAAAGTTCTCATTCACTAGGAAGGTCACTGAAAAGCAGTAAGTTATTTGTGACCCCTTTTTAAATATAAGTGATTTTGTTTCATATAATGCTTAATGTATGATTTTTATGATTTATTAACTATATTTCAACTTCATTTTATAGTAAAACCAATAATGATTGAGAGTAAAGCGCGTTGTCATATCTAAATTTTACGTTACCAGTTTATAGCAGAATCAAAATATAGTAAGCAGTAGAGTTGTAGGTTGTGGCAAATTATAGATAATANCGCAAGTAAAAGGATATGTGGCACGAGAAAACAGAACATTTAAATTAGTGGACGTGCAACATCACCTACAAGAAGCTATTCGAACTGTTTCTGCAGAAGACTGGAAGAAATGCATGCAGCAAAAAATGTGGGACGTAGACAACCGTATTGAACACAATATTGAACCAATCATAATTCACTTTGATGATAGCGGTAGCAACAGTGACGAATCTGAGGTTGAAGATTAGACGAAAATTTGTACATTTACATTTATATTATATTCTATTATCAAAAATTTGTAATTTGTATTTTCTAGTACCCCTGACGATGAGTTTAAGTTACTCGAAAGCTTGAGAATAGTTATAAAGAGTTCACTTATCAATTGCTGCAACCCAATACTGAAAAAAAGTTATATTGTGTTTTTTATTAATATTGTTAATTTATTTGGTACCTACTATAATTACCACGATTATTACTCCGGGCCGTTAGGCCCACCTAATGACTACAACGATTAGGTAAATTACGATATTGCAAAGTTTTAATGAAATAAATAAAAATTGTGTATGAATATTTCAACTAATTGTACCAAGAATTTTTCTTTCATTCTTAACCCTCTCAAAAATTAATAAGCACGCCCCCGATTTGCTGTCAACTGGGCTTACTTCTACTGTCAATCATTATTGGTTTTAGTATAGAATCATTTATTATTATGTTCACATTTATTTATATTTGCAGAGGTGTTATCATTTATATTTATAATATTTTTTGGAAAAGCTTTAATGACTTCTGTATGACATATTTTTACCGGGTTTACCAGTGAAAACTTCACATTCACTGAATATTTGGCATGGTTCTATGATACCCACAAGGAGATGATGCAAGAAATTATTTCAAACTTATGATTCTTAGATAATGAGCAGATTGTCAGAATCCATTTCTGCATACAAACAATCAAAATTATTTATTGAATAATCAGTACAATGGATTGTTTGAAGGTGATTGACAATGTTTCGTGATGAATTTCACTAGTTCGGACTTCCATTGTCTACTATATAGGTAAAATGATTTGAAATCCCTGAAACAAGTAAAAAAGAATAATTAAAAAAGAATAGTTGAAAATAACAATTATATTAAGCAACAATAAACCTGAAATGAAATGATGGTGAAATAACCTACAAGTAAAAATATAATAATTGAATAATTGTTTCAGGGATTTCAAATCATTTTATATAGTAGACAATGGAAGTCCGAACTAGTGAAATTCAGTACAATGGAATCAAGAAATAAAAATACACTTAAACCAACAAAAAAACCGTAAAAAACCTGATCAAGAATTCCGAACGATACACAGACGGTGAGATAGGGGGGCGTTATTTAGGTCAGATCGTATCGCTGCGCCTGTAGAACGATAAATAAGGAACTCGCGTTCCCTGGGGCTTCAGCATGTATTCTATCTGCACGGTCTTGACCGATGAATCGTCGTACCTCAACCAACATAGCTGACGTGGAAGGCATTGGTTACGTAGTGTCCCATATTGGCCTCTTTGCCGTCGTGGTAATGCTTCTCTTCTGGAGAATGTGTTTTCGAAAAAGCCAGTATTAAATCAATTTTCAAGGTGAATTCAAATTCCAAACCCTAGATACTTTTCCTGCAATCGTCGTGACTATAATCGCAAAATTTCAAATGCAATATGAGGATAACAGGAGATTCGTAGAGTATTACTTGCTCCCACGCTTCGACCTGGCCATTAGTTTTCGACGAAATCATTCCCTCTAATCTGTTTTTGGAGATGAACACCTCAAGTGTTTCCTGACAGTCTTCACTTTCCCAATGTTGAGAGGCAGCACGAGTAAAGGCTGGATCACTAATGTGATCTCCGGTACGATGTATGCTCGACTTTAGTTGTCTCTCAAAGATGTCGGTTATCGGTGTACTGGCGAAGTTGATCCTTTTGTTTACATATCTATTATTTTTTAATTCTATAACCTCCCACTCATCAATCGAATCCCCGCCCTTTTCAGTGTAACATTTAAACAAATCCATTAACTCCAACATTTCATTATTCAGACCGTTCAAAAGAAAACCAAGAAACTCTTCCGCATCTTGCTTGTCCACCCTCAATCCAGTCTGTCCTCATGCTATGCAACATTTTATAAATCCACGTCGGGCCGAATGGGGGACCCGTTTTGATGATAACTGCTTGGTCGTTCTTGGAATTTTTACCTACTCTTGTCTCGTCCTAATGTTGGAAGGTGAGTAGTCAAACTGCCTCACAAAACGACACATTCCAACTAAAACCAGGGTGGAATTCCCTATCACGTTCGAAGAGAAGTTTTTGCTTTGACTCTTCAGTAAGTTTTGAAGTGGTGGAAATGCGATCATGTCTTGCAAAATCGAGTTGATGTAGCGGTGATTGCTTTGATTAAGCAGACCCTTTGGCTGCAAACTCACTGCCCTACCGTCAATCGTGTATGTAGAGAGAAACTCGCCCATCCTGTAACAGCCGGGATCCACAAACCGATTGACCACTCCAGAGTTCTTAAAGGGGCACAAAGGGGTAAATTGTTGTTGATTTTCGGCGGCCTGGTCAGAAGCGACTTGGTCGAATCTGCTGACGGATTTGGACGAAACATCGGCTTTATCGGATTTGTACAGACTCGAATCTGCTGACGGATTTGGACCAAACATCGGATTTGTACATACTTGTCGTCGATTTTGTGAAAGAGATCGGGTTCGTTATTCCAAGTCTCTTGATAACTAATTCTTGTGGGGACTGTGAGGGCTCAGCTAGATGACTAAGTTCAGCTTCATTTAGGGTTCCCACTTCCTCTTCTGTCAGAGCTTGACTGTTTTGTTGAGAGTCTTCCACCACACTGCACAACTCCAGTTCTTGTGCTGTTGTTCAGATAACTATGAATCGTTGCATAAAAACATGAGGATTGGATAGCGGCATCGGAGAAAGAGCTTTGTGACAGATAATGCTCGATTGGGGATGAGGATAGGATTGGTTGTACCATCATAGGTAGATCTGTTTAAAAAAATCTGTTTTTTCTGATAATCCCATGAAAAAAATATATCAGATGCTGATGTATTTTTTTCATGGGAAACATGAATATTTCACTTAGTGTTTTTGATTGAGGAATTGTACCTAAACATGAACTGCATTTCCCTTTGAATCAGAATGTTAATTATCTGAATCAAGAAAGAAGTAGCTCTTGGGTCATTTGAATAAAAAATTAAATCATCTCCTGATTGAATAAATTCAAAAAATAATGAATTTTGGAAGAAATGAACTCGAAAGGCATTTTTCATATCTGCGATGTTTTTCTGATAGTTTCTATATCCATTTCATAAATGTTGCGGACAATATATTAGCAAGTCTCTACTAACACTACTCGAAAGTGAAATATTCAATTACAAAATTTTCCACCCCTCCTAAGTTTTCTTCTCAGGTCTAATAATCAAGGAGGATGTTTCAGACACAATAAGGTTATGAAACTCAAGTATTTTGACATTGTCAAGTATACCTACTTCAGTATACTTTTGTATACAAAATTGAAAATCAAATATTTGTAACTGGCATTTTCCCAGATGCATTAAAGTTCTCAAAGATTCATCTTTTTAAGACAATTTTCATCACATCTCAATATCAGTTTTTTCAAAATTGATAACTTTGAGAAAAAAGTTTTCTGAGGAATCACAATTTGATTTCCGCAGAGAACGTTCAGTAATACAAGTTGTGTTGAATGCCCCAATTTATTTGTTCGAGAGACTTGAACGTGGCACTTACACATCAATCACGCTTTGTGACCTGTCCAAGGGTCACATGTGTCTCTCGTGACATTTTCTTGGAGAAGTTACACTACTATTCGGAAAGTGTCTGTCTCTCTCAGATGCGTTTATCTAATTATTATTAAACGGTAAACTGCAATAATTTAGCATTTAAATATGAACCTCGTGAGGTGCAATTGTTGCATCTCACGATGTTTAGCAGTAACCAGACTTGAAATGGCATCTGAGATGTTTGCGAAACATCGAACTTTCGACAAGGAACACAACGGATGAACAACTTATCATATTCCACCATCGGTGTACACCTACACTGTTAATATATGCGTCTTTGACATTATAACGACGTTTCGGCAAAATCCCACTTACCATATTCCATATGGGAGTTGAATTGCAGATAACTGCGGAAACATTGGTTTCAAATTCAGCTACCAAGCAGAGCACATGAAAATATTTTCAATAATTTAAATCAACTTAATATAAAACCTAAAATTTGAAATTTTTTGCTCTACCGTAAATGAAGATTTCTAGATAGAATCTTCACTTAGTTAAAACTGTCATTTTAAAACTGAATTATTTTCATTTTACAAAAAGTCGAGTTCTTTGAGCAGACAGTCATATGTACATGACTACAATACAAAGAATGCTGATACCTTTCAAATATATCGTTTTTGTATGACCAAATTTGAAAAAATAGCAAAGAAATAACCAGGAAAGGAATTTCTAGCAAAAACATAACAATCTGCACTGATAGTAGAGAAG